ACACACAAGAGGTCCTTGCCAAGGAGCCTTACGAGGACTTAGGTGTTTGATCCAGTCTTTAATTTCAATCGGGGTGAAACCTTTCAGCGACATATTCTAAGCAATTACACTGAAAGTTGTACACACAAAATAGTTGTACCTAGCCGCGCTTACAATATTACTACCAATAAATTCACGAATTTTACAGCTTCGTATTATATTAAATATGTTGCCATTCCCAGACAGTAGAAGACGTCAGAATTAGTTCTCCGCATTAATCATATCTAATCTAACAAATAACTTACAAGCCTATTTCGTACTACATTGTTTGAACACATTCTCTCTCGGCTCTCTCTGTACCGACAGACTCTAAAACAATTTAGGCGTTCCTTCCGTAATCGAATCGAGCGGCAGGAGCCATTAACTCTATCGCCCTTATTCCAGTACCGCAATTACGAAACACAAATTGATTTAAACCTAAAATTCAACATTTTAAATTAACCATCGGAATGCTAATTTGCCGCGAACAGTCATCCCTATTTAATTCATTGGAAATGGAGGATAAAATAACGATTTTAATTCCCATTTAAGATTTAGATTGAAATGTTAACGAAGTTAATGCTTAGTCTTGTAATAACAAGTGTTATAAGAAAAACGTTTTTTTCTGTTCTTTTATTAGGTATCTGAAATATTTATTACTGAAGTGTGCGTTAGTGAACACAATTTTATAATGAAATTTGAAATATAGCATTTAATTCGAATTTAAGTCGTTTAACTTTGAAAATCGTACTTTTTCCAAGGTTTTGCTAGCTTGTCACTGAAAATCTTATGGAAGGATTTTAGGGACACCCCAATTATCACGATGCTTAGAGCATGCAATAATGTCAAACCTAAAGAGACTATCGAATGTAGACTAAGATCAGGACTAGACAACAACAAGTTTTCAGTTCTCGTCAGGTCAGAAACATTCGTTTAAAGCTATGTTTGTATAGATCGAGCATTATAACCAGGATTTGATGAAAGAACATTTTCGGTTTGGGACATGGTTATTAAGAGGTTTAACCACCTCTTCACGATCGGGAATGAATGAAGTCTCAACCCAAACTGAAGTCTCACTCGCTTCGCTTCGCGGCAGATATAGGTACGATGGTATTAATTGCCGATGCGGGCTAACAAATGCGCTATATCACCAGCTGAAATACCAAAGCTCACACATTGAAAGGATGAACACAAATACACCATCGCCGAAATCGGATAATGACCTACTGATCATTAAATAAGTTAAAAACTTTGAGCATCAACTCAATCATTATGCTCATTAAAATATTGTTCAATAGTTAATAATTCAAATTTTTACATATAATAATTTAAATAAAACCGAGCTCGCCGTTATAAAATAAAAATATCATGAACTTTGTCGAAATTAATTAAATATGCATTATTAAGGTTAGCTAAAAAGTACTAATCAGATCTTGATCACAATTTAAATAGCACGTTATGAGAAGCATTAACTTTCAGAAAATCAGAACCATTAAAATCGGTTCTCCAAGAAAAAAGTTCTAAGGTTTACAAAAAATACAGTCTAATTGGCAAACCTACTCCTTTTTTGAAGCCAGTTTAAAAGGACTAGTCGGTAGAAAGAAAATCTGTGTCTTCACTTTGTGTACCCTTTTGTTTTGATTTTATCACCCTAATCATTTATCAATAATCGGATAAAGAGATGACTAGCGCACCTATTATAAGCTGAAGTTTTGAGTCAGCTTTCGATGCATCACATTCATTTCTCTAGACATAATCAGATAGGGTTTTTTCGGATTATTTCCATTACTACTTTGGCGATCAAAGTTAAAGTAGTTAGTTAGTAGGGTTTCTTTTTGAATTTGATACTTAAAAAACTCTCGTTTTTTAATCTCTATATATAAAAATGAATTGCTGTTCGTTAGTCTCATTAAAACTCGAGAACGGCTGGACCGATTTGGCTAATTTTCGTCTTGAATTATTCGTGGAAGTCCAGAGAAGGTTTAAAAGGTGAAAAAAGATGAAAATGCTCGGAATAAAAAAAAAATAACACTTTTGTTTTTCCTTTGATGTGTCCCCTTGATGTGTCTTTTATTTATCGAAGTCTGCCGGGTCAGCTAGTATTTAATAAATAAATAAAAATCGTTAGCATGGTACGTACAAATCTAAATGTAAAGTTCCTAATAATTTCGTTTCGGTATTTTTTTTATGTCGTCTCGGAACGAACTTTCAATATTGAGGAAATAAAAGGTGAACTCGTTGTCGGAGAGAAAAATAGACTCGTTGAAATCTAATTTCGCGTACCCATAACGGGCAGGCACTCGACTCCGATGAGCCATCCGCGACAGACGTCCGCTGATATCAATTTCTTAATTGAGCGAGGCTTCTTCGCTCGAACGCTTCTTCTGAAAACCTCTCGTTCCCGGCTCAGTCGTTCCACACAACGAATACCTACACAGACCGTTCTTAATTTAACTGTTATAAACGCTATCATTTACAAAACCTTGAAATTATGATTACGTCTATTTTTCTAAATAATGAATAAATAATAGTTTAAAAAAAAACTAACAAAATACGCTTTTATAGAAAATCCAACTAAAAAATTAAAAATAAATTTGGGGTGCTTTTCAGGATATTATCAAATTAACCATATCATATCTGTTCATAAAATATTTATAACTACTGATACCATGCACCCCACGCTTTTTTTTACAATAAAATGATTTTTCTTACACTATTTTTAATTCAAATTCATTAAAATTTCTTTTCTATTTTTTAATTGGATTTTCTATAAAAGCGTATTTTGTTAGTATTTTTTTTATTATATTAATTTATTTTTCATTTTTTAGTTGAATTTCAATTTTTCCACTTTTTTTTTAAATGTTGAACTGTTATCGTTCCTTAATAAGTATAGCAAATTTCGAGTTAATCCGTTGTTTTGAAGGGGGTCAAAATCATGTTCAAAGATTCCGTTACATACTCACATACATATACGTCTGAAGCTAATAAAAGCGTATTAAAAAGAAAAGCATTTTGTTTTAATTTTATCACACACTTCGCTTAACATGGTAAACGCTTTTTAACGAAGTTTTTTTTTCCACTAATATATATCATAATACTATGAATGATTTTTAATTTATAAGCATCTAAAATAGTTCAAAACTTATTATTATTAGTTTTAAGATGTTTTGCTTGATTTAAACGACATTAAAATTATACTTATAGGCACTCGAGTGATTGTTTTATGGAAATTAAGTACCGATAAAGGGTTTTCTGAACGACAACGGCATGTTACTATAAAGATTTTCCATTTATTTCTTGTTCTTTGGTACGTTGAAGTAGATGATTTAAAAAAATTATGAAGAGTAGTCTTTTTCAACTAAACTATCGTCTCTGTATATTTTAAATGACCCATCGTTTTCGTACACCTGGCTGATGTGATATGGGCCTTCGGTGCATTTTGGCCCATCGCAGGAGAAATTATCATACTCGCAGTATTCCCCCATGATCATCTATAAACAAAAAATATACAAAGTGATTCGCAATTTTGATACAAATCTCTTAAAATATAATATAAGATATTATATAATAAAACGAAACGAATTTAAATTTATCAAGATAGAAATACCATAAGTCTCATACATTTATGTTACAATCAAAATTCTGAACCAGTCAAAATGACCATAACAGTGAATATTATTAGTCAAAACCGCTTTTGATAAGAACATTGATTAGAATTATTTCTGCCGTGAAGCAGTAATGCGTTTCGGTTTGAAGGGTGGGGTAGCCGTTGTAACTATACTGAGACCTTAGAACTTATATCTCAAGGTGGGTGGCGCATTTACGTTGTGGATGTCTATGGGCTCCGGTAACCACTTAATACCAGGTGGGCTGCGAGCTCGTCCACCCATCTAAGCAATAAAAAAAAATATTTTTGAAGTGAAACTTCCTTATCGGCGTTGGAAAAAAATTTACCGTCACATTTTTCGGTTACGCGTCACTTTTTTCCGTTACGCGCCATCTGTTTTGTATTCATGTCTATGATAATAAAATCCTTTTGTTTAAACTTTATCTAATTTAACTTTTTTGTATTCATGTCTATGATAATAAAATCCTTTTGTTTAAACTTNGCACTTGTTAAGTGATGCCGCCAAAGGTAGAACGAAGAAGTTCATGCCTAAGCGTGACGGACCCTACCAGATTAGTAATATCGTTAGTCCTACTACCTATGAGGTTACTGATTTGAATTCGCAGGTTTTAGGGAAATTTCATGCTTCTCATTTGAAGCCGTATCATAATCAAACCGGTCAGGTCTCAGCTCCAGTACAGCCTCGGCGCCTGCGTGGACGGCCCCGCCTTGTTGTTTCTGCCGAGCCACCAACGAGGCGTTCTAGTGACTCGGAGGGGGAGGATATAACGGAACGTAATTTCCGAACGTGCGATACCGCCCCCGCCGCCACCTTACCGCCCGCTGAGACAGAGCTCTCTGAGCGCGAAAACACACGCCCTCAGCGCGCGCGACGACGACCAGTAAAATATTGCGAGTCTTAGTTTAAGTGTACGATTCTCAACTCATTTTGTATTTTATTTTAGTTATTGTGTCGCTTTTATATTAAAACCTCATACCAAATCGGCGTAAACATTATTTCTATATCATCTTCGCCAACAGCCCGGAACAACGAACTCACGAAAACTCACAAAAGCCCGCCAGTCGGACTTGTAGTGTTAAACGAAGTTTTTTTTTCCACTAATATATATCATAATACTATGAATGATTTTTAATTTATAAGCACCTAAAATAGTTCAAAACTTATTATTATTAGTTTTAAGATGTTTTGCTTGATTTAAACGACATTAAAATTGTTCTTATAGACACTCGAGTGATTGTTTTATGGAAATTAAGTGCCGATAAAGGGTTTTCTGAAAAACAACAGCGTATTACTATTAAGATATTCCATTTATTTCTTATTCTTTGGTGCGTTGAAGTAGATGATTTACAAAAATTATGAAGAGTAGTCTTTTTCAACTAAACTGTCGTCTCTGTATACTTTAAATGACCCGTCGTTTTCGTACACCTGGCTGATGTGATATGGGCCTTCGGTGCATTTTGGCCCATCGCAGGAGAAATTATCATACTCGCAGTATTCCCCCATGATCATCTATAAAACAAAAAATATACGAAGTGATTCGCAATTTTGATACAAATCTCTTAAAATATAATATAAGATATTATATAATAAAACGAAACGAACTTAAATTTATCAAGATAGAAATACCATAAGTCTCATACATTTATGTTACAATCAAAATTCTGAACCAGTCAAAATGACCATAACAGTGAATATTATTAGTCAAAACCGCTTTTGATAACAACATTGATTAGAATTATTTCTGCCGTGAAGCAGTAATGCGTTTCGGTTTGAAGGGTGGGGTAGCCGTTGTAACTATACTGAGACCTTAGAACTTATATCTCAAGGTGGGTGGCGCATTTACGTTGTGGATGTCTATGGGCTCCGGTAACCACTTAATACCAGGTGGGCTGCGAGCTCGTCCACACATCTAAGCAATAAAAAAAAAATATTTTTTATCAACTAAAGTACTATAAAGATAATGAAAGCAATATTGAGAAATAGGTAACTACTATACTGTAAAAATGGAGACTCCGAACTCAGGTATCGAGATGAGCCGCGGTATTAACGTGGCTGACGTCTATTAGCTCCGGTGACCACTTAACACCAGGTGGGCCGTGAGCTCGTCCACCAATCTTTGCAATAAAAAAAACTACATTACATTAAATATTCATACTTTAAAACCTCATCGATTTACCTTAGAAGGATTAGCGGCATCAGTATCACAAACACAATGACCGCAAACACAGGTTCCCCGTCCAGAGCATTTCAATCCCTTCGTGACCTCTGGAGAGAAGCAATTATCTTCATTTTCTTTGCTCTGACATGAACATTGTGCGTTCTCTACGATACTAACTGAAAAAACAACATCATTAGTTATTAAATGAACTTCAGGCTCGACAGAAGAGGCCCGTTCCCGGAATCTGTAAACGCACAACATAAATACCGCAGCTCACCTAGACAAATTGGTGCCATAGCGTGCCCTTACATCTGATAAATAAGCAAGATCCTCTAGTCTGAAAACGATTCATTTTGAAACGATTACAGAATAAAACTTTTAATCAATACCTACCTGCTTACCCGAGCAGTCTACCGAATATTCTTTGAGCCCGTATTAAAATTAATAATTATTTTAGTAGTCGTGGCCTAAATTGTACGACTCCCAGCATAAGTGACACGACGCGGCGACGGTGCCGGTGTTCAAATTTCGTGACAGGTACCAAGATATGTACTTACTTTAGACGTTTTCACGTCATCCATCGAAATAACATAGTGCAATTTAACAAACCCATGAAATATATAAATTGGCTTAATTACTCATAGTATGACGAACTCTAAGCCCCATAAACTCACACGGGTAGGTAGGTACTAATTACAGTCTATTTCTGTTGCGAGGCGTTCACAGGAAGAGTGGGACGGCTTTTATTTAATACAATACAATTAAGACATCAACTTCACGACTCGAAATAGGTGGCGATTTTGACATCGTAATGTCTATGGGTTCTAATAGCCACTTAGCATCATGTGATCCGTGAGTTCGTACACCCATATATGCAATAAAAAATCTTTAAATACATAAATAAATGGACGACGTTTTAGATTTTTCCTGTGCCTGTATGAATGAACATTGAAAAAAATCAATTTGTATTAGTCCTATTTTTAAAGTTCTTTGCTTTCATGGGAACTGCCGGATTTTGAGAGAGTAGAATATGCTCATGTGTCCTTTTCGGCTTCTTCCTGGTTACGTTCACGAAGTAAGACATTCTTCACTCATCTTAACCATTTTTCTTTCTTAATATACCTACCTACCTAATATATTTCTATAGGTATTCGAAAATAACACGGCGTAAAAAAAACCCATTTATATTATTTTGGTATAGTAGAGCAATTAGGTAGGTAATAAATTTTCCTGCACACAATACCTACATTGATACTGCTTAAGTAAATTAATCCTATTACAGGAATTCGTGATAAAATCTATTTAAGAACTTTTTCATGATAAACTGGAAATTTCAGTGCTATGATGTTTTTTTTCTATTACTTGAAAAAAAGGTGTTTTTTTTTCACTAATAAAAATAATAATATTCCGCCTATTTCTGCCGTGAAGCAGTAATACGTTTCGGTTTGAAGGGTGGGGCAGCCGTTGTGACTATACTGAGACCTTAGAACTATATCTCAAGGTGTGTGGCGCATTTACGTTGTTGATGTCTATTAGCTCCAGTAACCACTTAACACCAGGTGGGCTGTGAGCTCGTCCACACATCTAAGCAATATAAAAAAAAAAAAAAAAAACTGGAGTAAGGCGAAAGAGGTCTTTAACTAAACTTACCTAAGAGCTTGTACTTACGTCCAAAATCAGTAAATTCGATAGTATCGTTTACGCAGAGGCCTTTGTTACCCCACAACTCGTTTGAGAAACATTTGTTTTCTTTTACACACCACGAGCATTGGGATAATTTCAAACAATCAAAACATGAGACCTTAACAGCACATACCCAGCGCTCATCCATAACGAACGGTCTTTTCGCTGCCATAATAGTCCATGGTAAAACAGATAAAAATAAAAACGCTACTTTAACTCGAGAACANACGCAGAGGCCTTTGTTACCCCACAACTCGTTTGAGAAACATTTGTTTTCTTTTACACACCACGAGCATTGGGATAATTTCAAACAATCAAAACATGAGACCTTAACAGCACATACCCAGCGCTCATCCATAACGAACGGTCTTTTCGCTGCCATAATAGTCCATGGTAAAACAGATAAAAATAAAAACGCTACTTTAACTCGAGAACACTGCATAGTGCTTTTAGATAGAAACTTAATTAACTGGAAAACGGGAAAATACTTCGAACGGTATTATTGTACGATAGCCCTGACATAAATAACGCAATTGCTCTGTACTTACAACTACTTCGATAACCTTTAATCTTTTAATCATGCAAATAAATAGTGTTTGTGGTTTACGCACACTTATTAGTAAAACAATATGTTTCCTAATATTAATAATATATTAGATAATTATTAGAACATTAAGTACATTTTCTAAATTTTAAGCACATTTTGGGCATGGTAATAATCTTTTATAAATATTTTAAAGCATCCCCTAAGATCCAGACTAACAATATTTTTTATGAACATTAGTGCGTCGGCGTTACTTTGATAACTTACTTACTTATTTGTATTAAAAGGGGAAATTCATATCTAATACTTATTTTCTTACCATATATCAATAGGGGGAAGGTGATGGGAGAGATGTGCTCCGCACTAAACGCTTCACTTTCCCCCCTCTGCCTCTTCATGAGTTCTGTCTCATGCGAGGTTTGGACGTTGGTTGTTAAGCGACAGGAGGTTTTAGTCAGTTCGACTCTGACATGCCCCGCCCTCCATCCCCAGTGGAGGGCGGAAGTCCGGCGATTTCCTCCAGATCAAAAAAAAAAAAAACCATATATCAATATTACAGCCATATATCTTCACAGTTTCTAGGTCAGTAAATGGGATTGAAAAAATTTGGTTTTAGCTCTTAAAGACCTAATTAAGGATAAGGCGCCCGGTGTTCTCGTATAAAAAATATTTACAGAAAGGTACCCATTTTTCTAGACATACTACATTACTAACACATGTTCACGATCGACTTCCGCGATGAGGGAATGACATTGTGTCAAACCTTCAATATTAATGGGCGAACGAAATCAAAGTTCACCTGGCGTTGAAGTTCCGTAGGCCGTCATCACAAGGAGAATGCTACCAACCATCTTGAGACTTGAGATCGAAGTCAGAATTGTAAATATAATATTAACTGTCGAACTAACGTTTCATCACAATTACTTTGGTTAGGTTAGGGTAAAATTGAGGTTCCCAGGCCTTATTCTTGATGGTCGTTGTACCTTTTGTACTCACTTCATACACCTAATCCCTCGACTATCTTGTCGGACCGTCCTGCCTATTTCTTGGGAGAACGATCGAAACGAAACGATCATAGGTTCGGGCTTGAATGGTAGGATGGCCATCATACACTTGAAACTTCGACCTTAACAAAAAAATATACAAAGTTGCTTCCCGGGTTCTTTCAAAAGTCCATTAAGTCTCTCAGAAAATTTCTATCATCACTGAGAGGTTATTTCTGATCATCTTCTCCAATAGTTAAGATGTTGTATTAAGTCACCTAAATTCTTCTTCTTTTCAGTATGGCAATTGACGTCTTGAAATGCTATTTCTGCCACTATCGAGATTATAAAAAATCTTCAATTAAGGAACATACACGTTATATGAAAATGGCCCAGAATGAAATGGCTTTTTTTTATATAGCTTAGATGAGTGGATGAGCTCACGGCCCACCTGGTATTAAATAGTTACCGGAGCTCATAGACATCTACAACGTAAATGCCGCCACCTACCTTGAGACATAAGTTCTAAAGTCTCAGTTGGTCATCAACAGTACAATGACTTTGTCACCCTTCAAACCGAAACGCATTACTGGTTCATGGCAGAAATAGGCAGGGTGATGGTACCTACCTGTGCAGACTCACAAGACGTCCTACCACCAATAACTACGTAAATTATAATTTTACGGGTCTGATTTTTTTTACACGATGTTATTTCCTTCACCATGGAAATCAATCGTGAACATTTGATATGTACGTATTTCATTAGAAAAATCGGAAACTGCCTGCGGTATTCTAATCGATGCATCGCTTGATACGCATGGACTGGGTCTTATTCTTTAAGCCACGACGACGACGTATCGTATTTTATTTGAAATACTAATCTATTGAGATGAAATCGGAGGAAACGAGATTAAATGACATGTCATAAAGTCCCAGTAAAATAGTGGGGATTTACTGAGACTTCAGTCATCCTTTTGAAGGAACCGGAAGAACCAACGAAGTCGTCTTGGCCTATTGAAGTCGTCGTGGCCTAACGGATAAGACGTCCGGTGCATTCGTGTTGAGCGATGCACCGGTGTTCGAATCTTAGGCGGGTACCAATATTTCTAATGAAATACGTACTCAACAAATGTTCACGATTGAGTTCCACGGTGAAGGAATAACATCGTGTAATAAAAATGAAACCCGCAAAATTATAATTTGCGTAATTATTGGTGATAGGACCTCTACTGAGTCCGCGCGGGTGGGTACCACCACCCTGCCTATTTCTGCCGTGAAGTAGTAATGCGTTTCGGTTTGAAGGGTAGGGCAGCCGTTGTAACCATACTGAGACCTTAGAACTTATATCTCGAGGTGGGTGGCACATTTAGGTAGTGTGTACACTGTGTGCGCGCGAGTTAATGTCCATCGAGGCCAGAGGAGACGCGCGGTGGCAGCCCGCCCCACCTTCACCCGTCTCCCCGCATTTGTCTGACGTCGAGTGTTGTCCGTCACGGTTGTAACGCACGATAACGATATCGAAAATTTACGCTAACGCTATTGTGTTATTTAACCATGACTACTCCGCTTCCAATAAGTTCAGATAGAAAAAAAGATACATGCTGATTCCGACTCTGATCTGTCGGTTGTCTTTTCATTCGATAGTGATTGAACTGGAATTTAAAAAGTATTTTTCTCTATTAGAAATAAACAAGTAATTACTTATCACATTTATTTTATTCCATAAATTGCAAAATTACCTTAAGTTACATTAAGCCAAATTGACAGCTGTTGACTAAATCGGTAGTTATTATCTACATTACCATATTTAATTAGGTCACAGCACTATCGCATTTCTCAGGATGGACATGAACTCGCGCGCCTACAGTACGTGCGGACTCACAAGTGGTCCTACCACCAGTAATTACGCAAATTATAATTTTACGGGTTTGATTTTTATTACACGATGTTATTCCATCACCATGGAGGTCAATCGTGAACATTTGTTAAGTACGTATTTCATTAGAAAAATTGGTACCCGGCTGCGGGATTCGAACACCGTTGCATCGCTAGATACGAATGCACCGGACGTCTTATCCTTTAGACCACGACGACTTTAAACACCTTATCCTACACTTCTGCACGTTCACAGATCGTAAGCGGTTAACAAGCCACCACTATGTTACGCTTAAACTCCAAGAAATATTAAATTAGTAAAAAAAATTATATCTCGCTTTCTCGCCCAAAAATTCCTCACTTCTTTTAATTTAATTTAATTTCCGTCCATTTCACTTTTCATGCGACAGGCTTCAGCATTTGTTACAAAAGATTTTGCAGTATGAACTTTGTTCCCTTTGCCTGTCTAATGGACGAATTCAAACAAACAAACAATCGTAAATATAACCTCAACACAACGATTTAACCTCAGTTAACATACATAATAAATGTATTGTGTATAAATTATCACCACTAATGGAAAATTATACAAAAGGCAAAAATGTTGAACAGGAATTTGAACGAGATAAAATTCCCATTGAAGGCTTACCTGATAATTTCCTTTGGATGCAGGTACATCGCAAACTCTAATTAAAAAAGAGTCAAACTTGATGGTTAGGGTGTTTAATATTAATTTATTTAAATCAGACATTGTAATGAAAACCTAAAACACAAAACGGTTAGGCAAGCTAAACCACTAGTGAAAATATGGTTGCTTACATTGAACTCTATGGACACAGAGAACTTAATTAAAAGCAAGAAATAGCAGTAGATTTTTTAATTTGGTATCTTTTTGTTTATTTTTTCTTATTAATTTATTTTATAATTGTTTATGTCTACGCTCCCCACATATGAGTAATTATTTGATGTGTTATTTTTATTACACAAAATTTTTTATTATCTTATATGTTAAATCTTCTAACGCATGTTTTTGAGCGTAATAATTATTAATAATAGCGATGTCGTTTTGAGGTCAATTATATACATCGTAAATCGCATTTTGGTCCTCACGATACAGGCTATGCCTAGTGTGAAGATCATTGGTTAATTTTATATTGTTGATGCCATCTGCGTAATCTCTCAGTTTGTTAAATATGTAAATAGTATTCTAGGTCATGATTTAAGAGTTTATGTAGTAAATAAAGAAATTATAATTATATATACATTATTATTTACTTATTTGATACAGGTCAGAGGAGGAAGTAAGATGTCAAACCTCCTAAACCACGTAACCGGCATACTAGAAGATAAAACAGCAACAGCAGTTGTTTGGAGCGGTGTTGGTGCAGCTATCTCCAAAACAATATCTTGTGCTGAAATTATAAAAAGGCAATTTTCTATTCAGCACCAGGTGACCAAACTACTGTACCAAATGTATGATAAATCATTACCTGTTTAAATAAAAAAATCTCATTATTTTCTAATTAAACATCGATTTTTCCCTTTAGAGTAGAAGAGCACTGGGAGCCTAAAATTGAAGGCTTAGAAACGTTAGTAGTTAAACGCCAAATACCTGCTATTCATATTCTCTTAACAAGTGAACCTTTGAAAGATTTTAATCAACTTGGGTGAGTTATTTCATTTTCAATTTGTGTCCATAATAACTATTGCCTGTTGCCATAAATATGTGCCTTGCAATGTATATAAGTCTATGGGCCATTATCTGAAAATTAAGAAGTTCATTTTTGCTTCTCATGTGCCGTATTTTATATTATTTACTAATTACCAATAGAATATCTTTATTCTAATGACAGCTATGCTGTTGGAACAGGCAGGATGATCATTGCAGAGTCATAGTAAGCTAGTTAGATTAAGAGATAGATAGGCTGTCCTATGCAACTTGGTGTTTTTTAAAAGTCTGGCATTGCATATGGGTATTTAGGAGTACATAGAATTTCAAGTATATGTGATTAATAGCCTTCTTCAATTTGTATGCCTTTTACATACATTGATTGTCATAACAAGTCTTGTATATACATTTTAACACATTTTTATATTCATTTTATTACCGAAACAATAATAAGTATATGAGTCGACTATTATCAAAGGCGGCAATCTGACTTTTGGACAATGATTGGTAAATCAGAAAAACGAATTATTGACTTTGTATTCCATTGGCAATCACAAAACTCTTCGGAACGACATCTTAGATAAATAACAGGTTAACTATTAACCTTTATTTAATGCAGGTTTTGAACCGTATTCTTTGAAGGAGACGATTATATTCAAATAAATCTGTATTGACATATCAATAAAATTTTTTTGTCCAAATGTACAGATTGCCGCCTTTGATAATAGACGACTCATATCATCTTTGTTGAATTAAGCTTCCCTTTAGACATATGTAACTATTACCATTTGTTAATTTATCTTTAAATATTATTTTATGCAAATAGGCAAAATTAAATGAAAAATCAAATCACAAAAATCTCACCATCTATTATATTAAACCTAATTCATTTCCTGCAATATTTTAGTATTTATTTGTCTCTATTTTTAAAATCTGACAAAGTATGTAGGTTATGTAAACAATCACAAATTGTATTCTCTTTTAGTTGTCAATCAATAAATGGAAAAAAGTTTTGGGAACAAAATGAGAATCAACCAAATAAAAAACAGCAATTACACTCAAAACGAAAAAAGGTATTCAAGCAGATTCAAAATAGCAAAAATTAAATATTTTTCTATGTGAACTATTAACTCCTACGAATTTCTATTACTATCCTGTAATTAAATATTTATTTCTTCAACAACAATAGACACAATGTTTTTTTGTGATATTATTTATGTGTATATTTGTAATAAAAGGTGTGAATCCAATAAGTGAAATTGGCAAATAAATGAATGTTTGTGCACATTTTATTTATACTTGATTTACAGATCTATCAATACCATAAACCTATGTAGAATGAACATTGTATTGTGTTAATGCATATAAATAATTTAATTTATATTGGTGTACACAATTTTTCACACTAAATTTAAATATATAATTTAACCTTGGTAGTGGAAGAAACACAAGTATGTAAATAAATAAATTCAATTTAAATGTTGTTTTCCATCAGAGAAATGTTTAAATTGTAATTGTTTAAACAAATTTCAAGCTTCTGATTCACCAGCTGGTACTTCATCATCAAGTTTAGGTAAAATTAGAATTTCTTGAGGTATTATTGGGTATTTTGTTACAAAATATGTGAATCTCTTGCATAAATGAGTTTCTCTTTCAAATGCATCATAAATTGAACGATGATGAAAGTATGCATGTGAGAAGATCCTGTAAACCCTTCTACAAACAGATCCCAACTTGGCAATTGATGAATCCTTGATGTTCACCCTAAAAAAAATTAATTAATATTTTATTTAACTGTATTAAAGAACATTTGGTTTGTATAATATTATAAGAATATATAAATTTTAAACCTGCTTGGAAAGTATTTATTGCTATTCAACAAGCAAGCTGCTCCATCTAGAGTGTGCCGTGTGTAATCAATGGCTGGACATTCTTTAGGAGTTTTATGTGCTGCACACAGAAATATCCACTGTTCTGTTGCAGTCATTTGTGTACATGTTTCAGGTTTGCATTCATTTTGTAGGCGCACAGCCAATCCATTGAGCTCCATACAAAATTGTCTGTAAAATATGTTATTTATTACACTTCATGTAACATTTACAAAGGTGGACTAAATGCCTAAGGCATACTCGACCAGTCAACCAAAGGTAGTGCAGAGTAAATAGTGGTAGGTAGAATGAAAATTATATTAAATTGCAAATACATACACAAAAATGTATAGTAAATATGTAATATTTTTATGTTAAAATAACTACAAGTTCAGCCATTGAGAGAAGGTTAACAATATAATTATATTGATCAAATATAATTTAGTCCAAACACTATAAGTAAATCCAAATTACATCTTAACAGTGTAACATGTTCTTTCAGCAGCAAGACGATAAAATATATTCTATTACATTAGAACAAGCTGTAAGTTATAAATAAACACAAGAAAAATACCTCAGATGTTCATACTTCCAAACACCTTCATCCAACACCTCTGGCATCTTCAAAATAGCTTCGAGATTCGAAGGGTCACGTCGAATAGTTTGTTGAATAAATTGTTGAACAGCCAATGTGCTATCCATTTCTTCAAAGGGTTCATCAGGCCAGCGACAGAAGTCCTGATTAGAACAATGATTGTAATTTAGAATATTCTTCGATATTCGCGAGTCTTAATTAAAATAATAAACACAATTAAAACTACTTTTACGGTTTAATCCTGAAATAATTGTAATTGATATATTTATGATGGTGGCACATAAGTAACGCCACAATACCTGTTTTAATTCAGTTACATTTGCTGTGCATACCTTGGCTTTGGTGCCGGGTCGATTGCGTCGGAGTATTTGAACTCCGTCGGTCATTTCTTTTGGTGGAATGGCGAAAAGATACTTTTGTTTGCTTAAACTGGTTCGAATGTTAACAAGCCTCTGATAGTTACGACGGCACTTATTTGAATTATGCTTCACCTCTACCACTATTATTTATATTTTAGAATTATAAGAAACTTTAGCTTTAGCCAAATAAATTCTTATTTGATCCCTTCGTATTATGAAAGAGAGGACAGAGGACTCCGAATTAAGTGTATAATCTATGACTCCGAAATCCGAATCATAGATTATACGCTTAGTATTTGAGATCCGAATATTTTTCATTACTTTGGATTAAAAATAGTGACTCCCAGAAGAAAGTACCGTAAAATGGGGTGATAAGGGATTGAGAGGTGAATGGGGACAAAACCAGGAAAATCTTTCGGCGCTCAATATTAATTTTTTAACCGTTGCAAAATCTTCAATTTTTATAGTCTAATAGTAGAATGTTGAAACTTCACAAAACATCTCTGAATATGCATAATAATAGCAGCTAACTTATAAAAAATCGCATTTCAAATTAACTTCTTGTGGTGGTAATTATTTTAGTGCTAGAAACTTTGCTCTCTTTTATTTATTTGATAATAAGAGAAGACGACTGTGATTTATAAACGTTTAGTGTTTGGACCATCATATATATTATAGGTAAATCTCAGTTGTTATTGGTTTTAATGTTTTTTGATAATATAAAAATACATGTAAAAATCTGTTGTTTTTGGAAATAATGGGGACCTCTCAGGTACAAATAACAACGAAAAAGGGGTCACTTGGAATGAGAATAAGTTAAATGGAAACGACCTAAGTATAAATAGGTACAGGTTTGTAGGGTTGTCTATGTAGTTATTACAATCTTTTTTAAATGTGTTGGTAGGTATCTGGTTTATTCATGATGTTTTTGTCTAGAAAATTTATTCAAGATTATCAATGCAGTGTTAATTTATTGTTTGGCAAATGTTTATATTATCAGTTACTTATGTGTATATATCTTGCGTGTACGTATCAAAGAGTGCAAAGTCTTATAAGAGATATGATCCCTTAATATTAAAGACAACAATAGAAGCCTATGAAATTGGGAATAAGTCTTTGGTTGAAATAGCTAAGCAATTTAACATAACTTATTATTGCCGTATAAGCAGACGAGCTTACGGCCCACCTGATGGTGAATTGTTACTGTCGCTCATGGACGTTAGCAATCCCAGAGGCAGAGCCAAGCCACTGCCTACCGTTTAATGCTCTCCACAAGCCTCGTTTGAAGCAAGACATGTCATAGCCCTCCAGAAACACCGTGGAGGGGAGCTCATTCCATAGCCGGATGGTACGTGGCAAAAAAGATCTGATTAATCCATAGAATAATCGACACAAAAATATCAGCCTCTAAGTACTTACCAAGAACGAAGAAATATAAACCCGCTTTTATAAGATTTTTTTTTTTATAAGAAAGCCCGCTCATTCGTATTTAGGTGCTTACTCTCCCTTAAACAGAATCCTTTGGGATTACAATAATGTCCACGGTAGCGCGGTTTCCGACAATGTTCATTCGGAGTTGTCCGATTGTAATGAACTAATTTTAAGTGATGAAATAGATGTTTTTTCTAGTTCTCTAACAACTTACTCTAAAAATCTGTGGCAGATTTATAAGTCCCAAGTAAATATAAATTAATCATAAGTAATTAAATGTATTCAAATTTTAGTTATATATTATTTTTTATTTTTGTTCTCAATGCACCGTCAGTTGCACTATAATTGAGGTGACATCTGCCATGTACTTTTGTCAGTTTTTTGACTGTCAATGATCACTTTATTGGTGCAACTAAATAAATAAATTAATTAAAACCAAGTAGTGTCAGCCCTAGCAATTTTCTCTATGAACACGAATTTCGTCCCCATTAACCGCAATTTCTAGGTAAATAGGGATATCACCTATTTCTACTTTTTTTGCTTAAGCTGGAATGCTAAAAAGGAATGCTTAAAAGCTTTAAATTGAATAACAAGATACCCCCAAGATGCAATCATTTTGATCCTGATATAGCATTATAAACATCAACAACTACCTTAAAATTGTTCAAGTTATATGTAAAAATATAATGTGTGTATTTTTTGTTTTAGGTCGACTCGCTTTGTGGTTTTAAAATTTGGTTTTTAAGTTTCTTAAAACTACGTTTTTTAAAATTTCTTAATAATTGTTCTTGACTTATTAAAATTGAATGAAAACGAATATTTTCTATTAAATCATACCGATATATCGATCGATATCGATATTGATATTTTCAAAAAATATCGATACTATATTTATTTATCCATACATCTCTAGGTGTCTGTTTATGAGTGTAATAGGAATAGATCATAGATACTTAAATATACTTCAGTGCTAAATAAGTACGGTAGGTAGGTGCGGTACGGCTTACTGAATTTGGCCCCACTTTTTTTGACTTTCGGACTTTTTATTTTTTATTATTTTTTATTGTCCGTCGTTTGTTCGTTAATGTTCGAATGTAAAAATGGTTTGTTCGTCTTTTATTTATTTAAAATTAATTATACAAAAGATCACCCTTAAGTCGGCCTCCTTACTAGATATATTTATTTTTATCGCTCAGATTAATTAAGTTTGATCAATTATCGTTTGTTCGACAACTATTGGTGATTGTTCGATCATAAAAACAATTAAATTCCCAATTATTAATTATTTTATATCTAATAAGCAAACCATCACCTCACGCCTACATTGCGCATGCGCCGGTTTGTCAGTCAGCTGGCAATGGCCGTATTTACTAGCGTTTTGTTAACAAGTACGTTTATACTGACTAATAATTTCTTAAGTAGATAAAAAATATATTCGAACATTAACGAACAAATAATTAAAAATAAAAAAATCCGAAAATCAAAAAAAGTGGGGCCAAATTCAGTAAGCCGTACCGTACCTACCTACCGTACCTATTTAGCACTGAAGTATATTTAAGTATCTATGACCTATTCCTATTACACTCATAAACAGACAACTAGAGATGTATGGATAAATAAATATAGCATCGATATTTTTTGAATATATATAATATATATAATATTTTTGATATTTTTTTGACCCCAGGTGACTGGGAGAAGGGCAGGATAATGATGATGATATATTTTTTGAAAATATCAATATCGATATCGATCGATATATCGGTATTATTTAATAGAAAATATTCGTTTTCATTTAAATTTTAATAAATCAAGAAATATTATTAAGAAATTTTTAAAAACGTAGTTTTAAGAAACTTAAAACCAAATTTTAAAACCACAAAGCGAGTCGACCTAAAACAAAAAATACACACATTATATTTTTTTGAAAAAAATGTTAGCATAAATAAGTATTCTTTTTTAGGATTTATTCATCTTCAAACATATAAATGATTATTGATCTAAAGAAAATATCGATTTTTATACATTTTCGATACTTGGCTTTTTCTATCGATATATCGAAATATTAAATATCTATCAAAAATATCGACACATTGAAAAAATAATAGGTATGTATCGATATTTTTTCATTCACAGATGAGATAAGTGTAATTCGTATTATTCGTAAAGTAACATGGTCACAATTTCACAGAGTTTAGTAAATAATGTACATATTATGTGACATAAAGCATTTAAATAAGTTTATTGACAAAAGTGTAAAATTTCAATAGCAGATTTCCAATTCGTATATTTACCTAAAACACATAAATTTATTTATCAGATAAGATTATGTTCGAAAATGGTGTACACAATTTTTATTTTGTTATTTAATGTAATTTTGTCGACAAGCTCTTTTGTAAGTGATATTACTAGCAGTTCGTTTGGAAAATATTCCGAAGGAATTATAGCTGCATTCGGTGATTTTAATTCTGACGAATTAACTGACGCCTTCGTTATTAAAAATAGTTCAACCGTCAACGTTTTTCTTGCATATGACAAAGAGCCTTTTCTAAGGCCATCCGAATTTACATGCAACTTTTCTGATATTGTTATCACTAGTATTGTACCAGGAGATTACGATGGAGATGCTTACATGGATATACTATTGACCACTCAAAATGTAAACAATACTTCAAAATTTCACAATGTGAGTATACTTTGGGGAGGTATGCCCACATTAAATTGTTCTGATGCTCTTCAAACGAAAACAATAACATTTGAACAGCCATTAGTCATGGATTACAATCGAGACATGATCTTAGATTTGTTTGGTATCAATGTTGAGGGCAAACGAGTGTTTTGGATTTTTGACCAGTCACGTAACAAACCCAAAGAAGAACCAATGGGAGATGAAAAATTATACAAAGAAATCAAACAACCTCACTCGCATTCTTTTCTGGACGTAAATGATGATGATGCAGCAGATCTCTTGATAACTACCACATCAGAAGTTGAAGTGTGGCTGAATGAAGATACAAATGGGTTTAAGTATGACTGTAGTATTGAATTTTTGATTGGCCATGCTGCTATTTATGGCCAGGCATTGTTTCTAGATGTTTCTTTATCTGGAGAATTTTTTTTGGCTATACCTGTATGTTATGACATTGATTGTTTCAACAGCACTATTTTAATATATGACAATATTGAGTGGCATGATCTCCAAGTGGACTTTAATGATGGCAAAGGAACGTTATGGAGATTTACTCCTCCAAGAGATGAAATTTACTTAGACACCATTACAATGCGTAGTGGTGATTACAATATGGATGGGTACCCTGATATTTTAATGGTACTAAGTCCGACCCACAGTAATGACACTAGAGTGTTCCTACTTCATAATATACCATGCAATTTACCAGGATGTAAATTCGTCAGAACATTTCAAATACACTGGGATATGTTTGATTCATTTGGTAATGATATTGTAATGGCCACTTTTTACGATTTTTATATGGATGGAGTTTTAGATATAATTTATGTTAAGAAAAATTATACATCTCAAACACACACAATGCATTCATTTAGAAATGAGTTAGAATATGATACCAACTTTATCAAGGTTATTGTGGTCACTGGCTTAACTAATGCTATAGTGCCAATCTTAAACACTACTTTATACAAGAGAAAGGCTACTTTTGGTAAGTTTTATTCAAGGACAAGTTATTTTTTTTATTAACTGCTGTTTGGTTTCTTTGTTATAAATAGTTTTTATTAATTTTCAGGTACTAATTTACCAGGACCGAAAATTGGATACAATACTTGGTCCCAAGAAGGAACTTATAGAACAGGTGTTTGTGCACAGTTACCGCAGTCTGCATATTTTGCTTTACAACTTCCTTATTCCATATTTGGTCTTGACAGAACACCAAACTTTGTGGATACACTAAATGTTGGGCTATCTGGCTATTCCAAAAGTTGGACTCAAATTATTCCAAATTCTCAAATAGTTGTAATACCTGTGCCACCTTATGATCCATCTCAATGGAAAGCACAACTATTTGTTACACCTAGCAAAGTGATTCTCAAAAGTGTTTTTGTACTAACTGCAATTATAGTTATCATAACAGGGTGTGTACTATATTTGCATTGGAAAGAAAGAAATGATAGACAAGATATCATCGAGATTGATGATCAGACCTATGTAAAGNCTCAAATAGTTGTAATACCTGTGCCACCTTATGATCCATCTCAATGGAAAGCACAACTATTTGTTACACCTAGCAAAGTGATTCTCAAAAGTGTTTTTGTACTAACTGCAATTATAGTTATCATAACAGGGTGTGTACTATATTTGCATTGGAAAGAAAGAAATGATAGACAAGATATCATCGAGATTGATGATCAGACCTATGTAAAGATATGAATTAAATGCCAACCTTTAACACTATAGGACATTTTCACTCAATATTGTGGTTAACGGTGGGGTCTGAATTTATTTGGCCAAAAAAAACCAAGCTTGTTTAAACCTGTTTGCAATTGCTAGTGTGCAAATGTTTGTATACTTAAGAGATCTACTACTTTCATTATATGATTAATATGTTAAGGTAGACCTGTATTGTATATTAGTTGTATATTTTTTGTTAATAAAAATTTTACTGTGATACTTAATTTTTCTCAATAAAAAAAAAAAGGCTTATTTCTCGTATTTTTAAAAAGTGACATTACTAAACTTTAAAGATTGTTAATAATATTACATACTAATTAGAATTCATAATATATAATGTGTATAATATTAGTCGGGTCACTTCAGTTCATAAAATTGTTGTGAAATATGTAAAAAAATGTTATATTAATATAGCGTGCAGACATGCAAGAACGCCTCTTATGTGAGAGTGAAGGCATCCTTCAAACTTTTCCATTTGTTTTTATCTTTGGCGATTGTCTTGCAGTTTTTACCAACAATTTTTATTATATCATTGTCCCAACGAGTTACCGGTCTTCTTTTCTTTCTAATACCTGCAGGCCCCCGCCATAACGTGAGTCTACAGGTCCAACGGTCATCGCTCATATGGCCTGTTCAGCGCCACTAACTTTTGTCAGAAATTTAGTGCATCTACAACTAGTCGTCGTCGTCGTAGTAATTTTGAAGTCGTCGTGGCCTAAAGGATAAGACGCCCGGTATATTCGTATCGAGCGATGCGCCGGTGTTCGAATCCTACCGGCGGGTACCAATTTTTCTAATGAAATTTAACAAATGTTCATGATTGACTTCCACGGTGAAGGAATAACATCGTGTAATAAAAATCAAACCCGCAAAATTATAATTTGCGTAATTACTGGTGGTAGGACCTCTTATGAGTCCCCACGGGTAGGTACCACCACCCCGCCTATTTCTGCCGTGAAGCAGTAATGCGTTTCGGTTTGAAGGGTGGGGTAGCCGTTGTAACTATACTGAGACCTTAGAACTAATATCTCAAGGTGGGTGGCGCGTTTGTGTTGTAGATGTCTATGGGCTCCAGTAACCACTTAACATCAGGTGGGCTGTGAGCTCGTCCACCTATCTAAGCAATAAAAAAAAGGGTGCGTGTATACTTATGTACGCGCGTAAGTTTTTTTTTTTTTTTAATTTTAAATAATTAATAATAAATATTTAACGTTAATAATTTAATAATATTTAGTATGAATAATAAATAATAATTTTGTCATTTATATTACTAAAAAATGAATGCGCGATAGTTCACCAGCGGGGCAGCGGCTATATTCAGACTCGCCAAGTTACGTCGGTCGTATTGTAATGAGCGATTTAGTGGGCAACTTCATTCTGTTAATTCTGTGTCACGGTGCGCACGCATCGTAAAATTTCACTCTCATCAGTTTTTCATAACGTAACTTAAAAAAAAAATTGTCTTTTCCCGTATGATATTGTGTGGCATTTTTTGTATTTTTTTTACATTCGTAATGCTTCTCTCCATACTTCGTTGATCTGATTTTGTTCTTTACGCATAGCGCGTATTTCCACGTATGGCAGCCGTAGGTGATAGAGGGGAGCAGGCATGTGTCCATTAGTTTCTTTTTTAAATTAATAGGCATGGTTCCCTTTAGTATGTCACTAGAATTTTTCCATGCGCCTGAAATTCTTCGTTCAACTTCTAATTCATTGTTTTGTTTTCCAAAGGAAAGTTTGCCTAGGTTTAAGTAACTATCTACCTACGTATTCTAATGGTTTCTCGTCGAGATATATGGGATATTTTATACTGTTGGACATAATTTTTGTTTTATTTAAATTCATTTCCAAACCCACTTCGCAGCTCATTGTTTTTAGTGAGTGTATCATTGATTCCATATCTTTAGCACTTTCGCATAGTAGAATAATATCGTCAAATGTTACATGGTTGATGAAATTGCTTAATGATTAAGATTCAGCCTTATTCTTTCCCAATTTAATTTGCTGAAGACCATCTCCAGTATCGCTATAAACATTTTCGGGGATAGTGGGTCGCCTTGCCTCACACACGCCTCGCCTTATGGGTATCGGTGGTCCTGTTGTCTCAAGTTTAACTCTACTTGTGCAAATACTTTATTATTACTATATATTTGTTTTCAACGCGTTGTGAGCTTAAGGCGGTCCATATAGAAGAAAGAGTGTCGGATTTTGTCGAAGGCTTTCCGATAATAGATAAACACCACGTAGAGTGGTTTCTGATATCCACGTCTAAAGTCTAAAGCGAGCTTGCTCTAATTTTTTTTATTGCTTAGATATGTGGACGAGCTCACAGCCCATCCGGTGTTAACTGGCTACTGGAGCCCATAGACATCCGCAACGTCAAATGCGCCACACACCTTGAGATACAGTTCCAAGGTCTCAGCATAGTCACAACGGCTGCCCCACCCTTTAAACCGAAACGCACCACCGCTTCACGGCAGAAACAGGCGGGGCGGTAGCACCCACCCGTACGGACTCACAAGAGGTGCTACCACCAGTAATTACGCAAATTATAATTTTGCGGGTTTGATTTTTATTGCACGATGTTATTCCTTCACCGTGGAAGTCCATCGTGAACATTTTTTAAGTACGTATTTCATTAGAAAAATTGATACCCGCCTTCGGGATTCGAACACCAGTGCATCGCTCGATACGAATGCACCGGACGTCTTATCCTTTAGGCCACGACGACTTCAAATCTTCAAATCTTCAAGACTTCTATTGATTGCTGTTCCTCTATTTTCTTATGCTCTTTTCGATTATCAATGAAAAAAGTTTGAAGAGTGTGGGCAGCATACTGATAGGGCGATAATTGACTATATCAGTGGGATCGCCCTTTTTTTAGAGTAGAATCATGTCTGACTCTGATCTTTGATTCTGCCGGTCCTGGTAAGCCGGTCTTCGGAATTTCAATTTTCTTTTCCTTCGAATTAAGTAAAATAATACCAAAAACCTTTTAAATTTAATTATTTTATAATTGATTTGGCAAAGTATAGTTCATATTCTCGAATTTTATCCTCTCTGGTAAAAAGTTATATATATTATGTATAATTAGGCAGCGGCTTGGCTCTGCCCCTGGCATTGCTGAAGTCCATGGGCGACGGTAACCATTCACCGTCAGGTGGGCCGTGTGCTCGTCTGCCTACAAGAGTATTAAAAAAAAAAAATACGAAATCGAAAAAAATGAGAAAACTTGCAGCTTATAATAGATGCGCTAGTCATCGCTTTATCCGATTATTGATAAATGATTAGGGTTATAAAATCAAAACAAAGGGGTACACAAAGTGAGGACACATTTTCTTTCTACAGACTAGTCCTTTTAAACGGGCTTCAAAAAAGGAGTAGGATGGCAATTAGACTGTATTTTGTGAACCTCAGAACTTTTTCTCGGCGAACTGATTTTAATGGTTCTTTTTTTTCTGAAAGGTGGTGCTTCTCATGAGGTGCTTTTTAAATTTAGATCAAGATTTGATTTCATTAGTACTTTTTAGTTATCCTTAATTAATTAGCTTCGGAAAAGTTAATGATATTTTCATTTTATAACGTTGGAGTCAGTTTTCTTTTATGTAACAAAAAAAATTGAAGCATTAACTATTGAACGATATTATAATGAGCATAATGATTTAGTTGTTGCTCAAAGTTCTTTCTCTTTCCAGAACTTTGATTCTATAGAAGCTTATTTATTGATCACTAGGCCATTAGGGGCCATCCATAAAGTACGTCACACGTTAATGGGGAGGGAGGGTATCACCGAAGTGTGACATCGTGTGACAAGGGGCATGGGGGGGTCAATACTTTTGTGACGTCACATGTTAAAATTTAAAATACTAAAACGCAAAGTTTGTATGTGAATTAAAAATTTTAAAAATTTACAAACTTGATCTATATTTATTAATAATTTAGCATTCTCGCTATGCGATAATCTCTCATGCAACGTCATTTAACTTCTAGAGCGGCGTTGTAATGCAAGTGAGACACTCAAATTAGGATGTTCCTGACGTTCAAATTCAGAACGAAAATGAAGTGCCTGATTTACCAGTAATAGCTGATATAAAAGAGTGGATCCAAAGTCCATGGACACTCGATAATTAAGTTTTTTATCTTTAATTAATATAATTAATCGTTTATTATTTTCTAACTAGTCGTTTGTTTTTTCTGTTTTATGAAATGTTGGACTTTATGTTGATTTTATTAGATTATTATTTAATAAAAATAAGTAAAAAATGAAAATAGCTGTTTTCTCTCGATTATTTTTAAATAATAAATAAATTTAAAAAATGTGTGACGTCACATCAGGAGGGGGGGTTATAAAAATGTGACAACCTGTGACAAGGAGGGGGGGAGGGGTTCAAAAGTCCTAAAATTCGTGTGTCGTACTTTATGGATGGCCCCTTATCCGATGATGGGGTATTCGGATTTCGGTGATGGGGTATTCGTTGGAGTGTTCGTTCTTTCAAGGTGTGAACTTTGGTATTTCTACTGGTCATATAGCGCATTTGTCAGCCAGCATCGGCAATTAATGCCATCGTGCCTATTTCTGCTTACTTAAAATTATGCCAGACATTCACTGTGATTGTATTTTGCAAGTTATATGCATGTATTGTAAAAACAGTGTAAGTTATGAACATGACCCAAATAACAAATAAATAAAATAACAAAAAACATAATTAACATGAATAAATTGGTTTAGTACACTTCACCGACCTGCTGATACTATGTATTTAATCCATGGGCTTACGCATTATTACTAGGTACTTTAGATTACCAATCTTTGAACCATACAAAATACCCAGTCAGGTTTTTTTTTGTATAAGAAACAGAGTAATAAAAATAATATTAATTAACAAAACACTAAAGTATTATATTATTATTCGATATACCATAAGTACAATAATGTACCATATTGTTTCGTACTGAAACAGATTTTTTTCTTGTTTCGTATATTTTATTAGTATCGAGTATTAGGGAAAGAATATATTACATCTTCAAGACAACACAAGTCTTAACCTAGGCGCAGTAAGGTTCGATCTCGCCTGTAGACGGCCGACTAGCCAAAATTATCCAACGCAAGTCACGCTTAAACATAGAACCAGCGACAATATATTCATCGTGTACCAGTCAAGGGACAGACGGTCCCACCTCCGGAAACGACGCAGAGCCCAGGGAGCGCGAGGCAGGGGAAGGATCGGTAAGTCTTCAGGCACTTATTTCGTTCCTTACTGTACACATATTAAACTTTTCAAAGTGGCATTATAATATGCCAATATATAAATTAAACATTGTAGTAGTAATAATCAACTTCTTTAGATAACTAATCTTTAAATCGTACAAATCAGGTCATCATGTCAGGTGTTTTTTTTATCCCCCCGGTGAAGGTCAAGGGGCGACCCGAGCTCGCTGCCAGCTCTCTCACCAGCGGCACCGTCTGGGCTGCCCGAAGGCTCGGTCGGCCGGGTGTCCTTGTGGTGAGCTGCGCTGTCTGGTTGTAGTGTTGACCGGGGTAACCCCCTTACCTCATCCGGGTTCTAACCTCTGACGGGATCGGACGCTTGGGCGAAGAGTTTATGGGAGTCATTTAGTGGGTAGGGTCCTGAAAACATCCTTGGGCCCGCGGTTTTGCAGTCGCGAACCAGTCCCACATATCCCGCGCGCCCCCTAGGCGCGGGGCCTCGTAGGAATTTCGGACCCGGCCCAAAAAAAAGTCTTTTTTGTATAAGAAACATTATTATAATATGAATTAACAAATACTAAATTATTATACAGTATATGATTGAATATAATTAAAGTGGCACTCAGCACATGACCAATAAATGCATTCTGTGATATATTTGATATTAACATTTGACTTAACGATTTAAATAAACTAAATAGTTTCCCTTACTGTCCCGATTTCATCTTCTTTAGTTTGGTTCTAATCGTAGGAAAGTCAGGTCTCGTGTTGGGATCTTCTGCCCAGCAGTCCTTCATGCACGACACAATGTAGTCGTCGATGCCGCCGTCGATGCTGCTCGTGTCCGGACGAAACAACTCTTCGCCGTCCAACTTCGGCCGCTTCAAGCGGTCTATTATATCTGAAATGTTAGTCCACGGTATACATATTTTTAAAAGAACGAAATATAATTTACTGTTATGCAGTAACTCAAAATGTATTATGTTCTTTTTGTTTTCATTCAAAGGCTCACCTTTGGGCTCCATTGCGACATTTTCAAAAGGGCCTTTTCTCGCTATCACTTCATATAGAATAATCCCAAACGCATAGACGTCACCTTTTTGCGTTCCGCCCACGATGCCATTCGGGTTGTTTAATCCTCTCAACAACTCTGGTGATTTCCAAAGCAAACCTGCAACACGTCACGACTGTGTGTTGATGCCGCAAATTATAAGAACTCGTACAATTTAAGACTATTATTAGTATTTAGCTATTTACTTTATAAGCAGCATTTTTTATTTATGTGACTATAATATGCAAAATATTTAATTCCTACACCCCAGCAGAGGGTAATAGGAAGGAATGATGATGATGATGATATGCAAAATAAGCTTCGCAATCTTTAGCTATTTTTATTGCGGTGTCAAACAATAAAGTTTTTGAATATATCCTGTGCCCTTCAATCCTAGTATCCGATCATTTATTATAATAATAAGGTTCATGCACCTCTATAATACTGATGTTCTCCAATAAACTTGTTTTCAGCGCAATATTTCAGCTCACGAAGACCAAAATCAGCTACCTGAATGGATAAATTAAACTATTTATTTCACACAAACAACAAATACATCAAACTACTCATTCACCACGTTATAAGTAACATAGTCTAATGTAATGAATAACATAGTTAAAAACGATCGATCTTTGACGTTTAAGGTAATATTGTTTATTATCTCAAAGCTGAACTTACTTGTAACATCCATCTTGATGTAACTACACAATTCGAGGATTTGAGATTTCCGTGAAATTTTAAAGGCGACGAATGAATGAAGATCATACCCTGAAAAATAAAATCTCAGCTTTGAAGGAGTATTGATTAGTACACTTGTATTTAACTCATCGAAAAAAACAATCATACCTTAATGAGATCGTGAATAAGCAAAGATATTAACATCTGATCCAATTTGATATCTTCGTTTTCTATTATATCCTGCAAATTATTTAGAATACTCATAACACTCAAAGGTCACACACATTTAAAAAAAATTGCTTAATTAGCAATAAAGTTACTTAATACAGGCAACAGATCTAAGCGTTTACCTATTAGGTAAGAATATTTATTTTTGAGAAATCTTAGATTAATTTATTTATGAACACTCCTATCTATACGCAATTGTTAACGTTTTTACAGATTGCCTACTGATTTTTTTCTATCTAGGGGAGACCGGGGCAAGATGAAGTTCGGGGCAGGACGGGAAATAAGCTTGTGTCCATGAATGGTAATCGTGTTTGGACCGGTAAGAGCGCCATTTGCACGAAATTCAGACTGCGCAAGTGCGTCCGAGCAGAGTGAACGTGTTGGATCTCGTTTTTGCGTTATATAGGAAAAAAACTGATTTTGCAAGGGTTTTTATCCGGTTTTTGGTTAAGAAACTGATGTGCAGGCATGTAAGTACTTGAATTAATATAATGTTTTAATCCTCAGCGTGTTGTAGTACTGTAACACTTTAAATTCAGATTAGATTTTTGCGCCGGTAAGATTTAAGATTAAAATTGCTTCGACTTATTTGAATACATGTGGGTCGGGGCACAATGATCGGGGCATAACGGGATACTATCCCGTTTTGCCCCTTCCTTGTGGTTTAAATAATACCTTCTGTGTACCTACTTACCTATCGATAGTATTGCAACCTCTTTTTGCAAGCGTCCATAGGCTACGGTAACCGCTTTCCATCAGGCGAACTGTAAGCTTCTTTGCCAAGTACATATTGTTGTAACTTCTACATTAGCAAGATATATCGTTGCTTTTCTCATAAAGTTTTTTTCTCAGATACAATGTTTCGGAACTATAAACGAAAAACAGATCGTGGCAAATGGGACCCTGAACTTCTGGGTCTTATGCGTTCTTAATAACAGAATGGGGCTTCCTCGAGCCTCAGCTACATATGATGTTCCGCCGTCGTGTAAGAAAAGCTCCTGATACTGTTGATGACGACTCTGATTCCGGTAACGACTAAGTATGGGAAAAAGTATTTGTGACGATTCAAAACTGTTTTTAAAGCAAATAAGAAGATGAGTTGGCGCAATGTGTGTTATGGAAGCACGGTTAACAGGAAAATAGCTTCGTGTAATAGCTTATCAGTTGGCTCAGCGAAATCATATAGATAGCCCACTTAATTAAGAAACCGGCATGGCAGGAGAAGATTGGCGTAAAAAACGAATACATAAAGTTGAAATAAGAAGATAAAAAGAACTGAAAATAAGCGTAAAGCTAAAAGACTCGCCAAAGAAATCGAATCGGAAGATAGTTTATCTTAAGAGGACGGTGACTGGGCCTGCATCTATTGTGGTTACTTATACTAAGAGTCAACCGAGGGTTGGGCTATCTGCAGTATTTGCTATGGTTGGGCACATGATTCCTGTGCTGGAGTAGATGAAGAAGACGACGAGGCACACATTTGTGAACGCTGTCTGCTCGTAAAATACGTACTCCTTTTGCCCCGTAGCATTTTCCATCTTACCCCATCCATGGGGCAAGACGGGAAATTCGCCTCATTATCGTTAATCATTATTTGTCAAAAAGCTTCTATGATTTTCCTTGATAAAATTATTAATTTTAAGAGACAAATGTATAAGTGTTACTTATTTTCTTAAAGAATTTAATTAAAGAGTATAATTGTCTTTGTACAGCGAGTTTTGTCTTAGCTATCTCATCTTGCCCCGGTCTCCCCTACATGTATATAGGTATACGAAACAACACAAACAGTTAAGTACTATTTTGTGACTTAAAAAAACGATTTTTGTTTGTATAGTATCCTATAGACATTATTAGTATTACATTACAAGCATTAGCGTTTACGATGAAACAAAATATACAGTCGAGTTGCCTATTTGTTCCAAAAATATGTCAATAATGAAATTAAAGATGCAATAGGATACGCAAAACGATTCTATATCTTAGATGTAACTGCTTTAGGTTGAATTTCGATAAATTTGTTCGAACGCTTATAGCTAAGTAATTATTATTATTCCCTATCTATTCCCCGGTAGCCTGAGGGGCTATTCCAGGTATGTGCGGACGAGAGTACTCACATACAAGCTCCCCTTGGCGCAGTAGTCGGTGAGGATGAGCACGCGCATCGGCTCCACGACGGCGCCGATGAACGAGTTGAGATTGTCGTGACGCAGCTCGCGCAGCAGCCGCATCTCTTTCATTATGTCCCGAGATATATCCTGAACAGATTATATATCGACGGGGTGACATTCCGCTTAATACGCGACATTTATCTTTGTAATTAAAGGTTCGTATCATTTAGTATTAGCATCAGCAGTTCGATGTTTTTAATTGAACTTCAATTAATTTTACTCCATTTAAATATTGATAATAATAGCTGAAGAAGTTTTTTTGTTATGATATTTTAAACTTTAAATGGCTCTCCTGTGAAGTTGCAAAAATTTCGCTAAAACCAAATAGCCTTTCACCCCTCGATATAAACTAATTAAAACTAAATTAATATTGTAATCTCGAGTTCGTTATTTAATGGTAGTGCTTGAGATTATACCTTTTTTATGATAAATTATTACCTTCTTTTTAGAAAACTTCAATGTTTTTATCCTGACTAAATTCCCTCTGTATTGCGCCGTCGTGGTGAATTTTTGTGGGCACATTTCGTATGATATACCGCTCGCTAGACATAACTGTAACGAAATATACTATTCAACCTAATGTCGGAAATAAAAAACCTTGAAACTAGTGAAATTAGCGGGATCTACAAAAATTGATAAAAAAAAAAATAATTAAAAATGCAAGCTTATCTAGTTAATTTTGCTTTGTACACATGCAGACGAGAATACAACCCATTTCACAGAGTGGTTACTGCTACTCATAAAAATGGACAGTGTCAATCAATGTTCAATCTTTCTAAAAACTGGATATACTGAGTGTCGTAATTGGCATTACTGATTGCATGAGATAAAATAAAAACAACATAATATTATATACCTTACTGGGCGAGCACACGAGGCCGTTGTCGGAATATCCGGTAACTTCCTGTGCGTCTATTTCCCAAAGAAAACCTTCTATTTCTTGTTTGATCTTCCATTTTCGGTATTTGCTGACCGTGACGAATAACACACAAAACAAAGTCACCGCCAACGTTCCCGTCAACGCTAACGGTATCGCCAACGCTATCAGCGAGTTGTGCCTTGGACGTTTCTCGTTGTTAAAACCGCAAGACGGTTCGTCCTCCGGTTTCACGGTGTCAGGCCAATCGATCGGTATACGAGAATTCAGTTTGTAATCCTGAGAAAAAAAATCCACGTCCAAATATTTAATTCCCGTTTAACTACGTACATGTGACGACAACAGAGTCAATAATGGCTTAAAACAATAATTTTATTGGGTAGACAGTTTTTTTTTAGACAGTGTAGGTAGGCAGCGTAGATTAGTTTCAGTTAGAGCGTACTTCATACTTGAATAGCAATTTACGGAAGAAACAATAATAGCCCCACTGTCGCCAAATATCTAGTCGCGTCGCAAGTTCCTTTTTTTTCCACAGGAGAAAATCGCCGGTTCCCCACCCGCACGATTGGTTGGGTATGTGGGACTTGAACCTCACTTAAAACTGCCGCTCGTAGCCGGTGCCCTACCCCAGACAGTGTGGAGCCCAGTCGGGGCTATTGAGGCGGCGGGACAGGGTTGATGCAGAGCATATTACATCCATCCCGCCGTCCCACAGACGCCGAACCGGCGGCCGCCGGCGACACGACCACTGGTTCCCTCGGTCAGCGGGCCGAGAGCCCGTCTTGATGGCGCCGCGCTACACCTTCCCCCGGAGCGGTCGGGGGGACGCGGTCTATCATCACCCGGCTTTCTATTGCGGGCGAGAGTGCAACGCATGCCGTCCCACACTTGGGTCCCTCCCCGCACTAAGCGTGGGACCCGAAGCTCTTAGAGGGCTGGGTCACCGATGCGACCCCGGTCCCGACCTCCTGCTCGGCGGCGGCGGATTTTTGCGTATTGAGGACAGCTTTGCCTCACTCGCTCTGCCGCCTCCTTCTGTGAGATGGTGCACCCGCAGAAGTCGAGCATAGCCTTCCAGGACTCATCGCCCCCAAGCATCGAGGCCACGACACCAGGTGGCGACAAGTCCGGTCCTATCTTTGCGATCAGGACACGGCGCTGCACCTCCCAAGCGGGGCAGACAGCGAGAGTATGCTCCGCCGTGTTCAGGTCGTGTACACAATAGTGACATCTCGTCGTCGGCTCAGCTCCTATCCGGTGCAGGTGCTTCCCAAAGCATCCGTACCCGGTCAGCACCTGCACCAGACGAAAGGTGAGGCATCCTCCGCCACGATTCACCCAGTCATCAAATACCGAGTAGACCGCCTCGACAGTCCGTAAACCCCACGCGGGGTTGGCGAACCGCCTCGACCACGACTCAAGCACGGACTGACGAGAATGGGCCTTCCGCGCCCGCAGCTCACTTTCAGGGAGACGCGCCACGCTCCGAGCACGAGCTCGAGGCCGCCTCGAAGGAAACGGTGGCGTCGCAAGTTCTAGCACATTTTCTAATTCAATTTAAATTTTGTCATTTTTAAGTACTTCTGTATAGTACTTTTGAATTATTTAGTCAATATTCGAGATTGGTAGATCGTAAAGAGCGACAGATCGCAGTGGTCTCAGCTCAAATCTAATAAATAAAGCACCAGCATCAGTAGCGTAGCGATCTTAAATAAAGTCACAGACTTTAAATTTGAGACAATACATGTAGTTGACAAAACAAGACTAAATTTTGAAATGTATGTATGTATATGACGAGGGGTTTTGTCCAGAGAAACCTTTAAAAGCAGTGACCTCGACATTGCTAACGTCACTGCCTTCACTATTCGGCGTACTCATCGCAAACAATAAAACACAACCAGAAAACACACTAAACGATTTATTTTACAAGACACCAGAGGGTTATCAAAGCAATAGTTATATAATCACAATTATAATAAAACAATAGGTAGATACTCACAAGATACGATACACCAGCTCGCCACGTCTTCACCGCCCGGCGCTCGAATAAAAAGTGTTTTAACATTCAGTTCATTCACTCTATCGTAGTTTCGGTTTCGTGCGCCAGCGAAATTAAAAACCAAAAGATGGCGTCGGGCGGGAAAACGTCAACGCATCATTTAAATTGAAACTTTTTTAAATGATTAATTTTAATTATTAAAATAATTCGTAGCCGACTTAAACTAATACTAATAGGTGTATGGCTCTAATAAAGAATAAAAAAAATCGTAAATTAATTAAATATTTCGAAAGTAATTATGAACAATTGAATTAATTTTTAAATCTTAATCGCAGTTGAAACATCCGGTCTACAAATGGCGGCGAATGTTTCAACTGTTAAATAACTCATAATAATTTCATCAATTAATTTTAGATTTTAATTTTAACGCAAAATACATTCCAAAAATCATAACACTAATTAATAACTAAAAACAACCAATTTATTCGACACAATGATTGATTTCATAATCGGAACAATTACATTTGTTAATTATCATGGACTTGCGTCGATATAATATGATCAACTAAAATTAGTTCAAAAGATACCTATTATTTATTTAACATATCTAATATATAAAATTCTCGTGTCACAGTTTTCGTTGCCATACTCCTCCGAAACGGCTCGACCGATTTTAGTGAATCTTAGCGTGCATATCGGTCAGGGTTGAGAATCGGCTACTATCTATTTTTCATCCCCCTAAATGTTAAGGGTGGTCCACCCCTAAATTTTATTTGTTATTTTTTAGACAAAAAATTTTGTTTTTATTTTTTNAACAAAATTTTTTGTCTAAAAAATAACAAATAAAATTTAGGGGTGGACCACCCTTAACATTTAGGGGGATGAAAAATAGATAGTAGCCGATTCTCAACCCTGACCGATATGCACGCTAAGATTCACTAAAATCGGTCGAGCCGTTTCGGAGGAGTATGGCAACGAAAACTGTGACACGAGAATTTTATATATTAGATATTACACTGGCACACCTCCTTCGCTACGCCACTGACCGGCATCTAGAATGACTCGACTGACTCGAGTGATACCAGACGTTTACACGGCGGTCGTGGAGAGAATCCCTTGCGAATGATCCCCATGAATGATTTAGAATTCTCATCGATGAGCAATTCGGATTCCGTACAAATCACTCATGCGTTCAACAGGTGCACCGCCTCACGGAGCACATTCTTGTGGGGCTTAATCGACCAAAACCGTTATACACGGGAGCTCTCTTCTTCGACGTCGCAAAAGCGTTCGACAAAGTCTGGCACAACGGTTTGATTTTCAAACTATTCAACATGGGTGTGCCGGATAGTCTCGTGCTCATCATACGGGACTTCTTGTCGAACCGCTCTTTTCGATATCGAGTCGAGGGAACCCGCTCCTCCCCACGACCTCTCACAGCTGGAGTCCCGCAAGGCTCTGTCCTCTCACCCCTCCTATTTAGCTTATTCGTTAACGATATTCCCCGGTCGCCGCCGACCCATTTAGCTTTATTCGCCGACGACACGACTGTTTACTATTCTAGTAGAAATAAGTCCCTAATCGCGAAGAAGCTTCAGAGCGCAGCCCTAGCCCTAGGACAGTGGTTCCGAAAATGGCGCATAGACATCAACCCAGCGAAAAGTACTGCGGTGCTATTTCAGAGGGGAAGCTCCACACGGATTTCCTCCCGGATTAGGAGGAGGAATCTCACACCCCCGATTACTCTCTTTAGACAACCCATACCCTGGGCCAGGAAGGTCAAGTACCTGGGCGTTACCCTGGATGCATCGATGACATTCCGCCCGCATATAAAATCAGTCCGTGACCGTGCCGCGTTTATTCTCGGTAGACTCTACCCCATGATCTGTAAGCGGAGTAAAATGTCCCTTCGGAACAAGGTGACACTTTACAAAACTTGCATAAGGCCCGTCATGACTTACGCGAGTGTGGTGTTCGCTCACGCGGCCCGCACACACATAGACACCCTCCAATCCCTACAATCCCGCTTTTGCAGGTTAGCTGTCGGGGCTCCGTGGTTCGTGAGGAACGTTGACCTACACGACGACCTGGGCCTCGAATCAATTCGGAAATACATGAAGTCAGCGTCGGAACGATACTTCGATAAGGCTATGCGTCATGATAATCGCCTTATCGTTGCCGCCGCTGACTACTCCCCGAATCCTGATCATGCAGGAGCCAGTCACCGTCGACGCCCTAGACACGTCCTTACGGATCCATCAGATTCAATAACCTTTGCACTAGACGCCTTCAGCTCTAGGAGCAGGCTTAGGGACCTCGGTAACCGTACTCGTCGAACTCGACAAAGAGTTCGCCGTGCAACCTAACCCATGAATCAGCTCGCTGAGTTTCTCGCCGGATCTTCTCAGCGGGTCGGGATTCCGATCCGGTAGTAGATTCATTCGCGAAGCAGCTGCTCTTGAGCTGTTAGGTCTCCTTCGGAGGCGCTCGGGCAGCTGTTAGCAAATCCCACCCCTCCTGGCTGAGCCTTTGCTCGCCCACCTGTCCTCGTGAAACTAGAAAGGCCTCCGGGCCACCAGTAATCCTTCAATCATAAAAAAAAAATAAAAAAATAAAAAAAAAATGATTTAGAAGAAAAAAAACGTTGAAGCAATCAAGTCTCCCGGTTTACTTAGCGTCCGTGACCCATCTATTTATATACCTATATTTCTAATCTATATTTGTATTTCAACAGTTTATAATAGTATTTCGTTTGTCTATTATTTTTCTGTCTTGTAAAAATAATGGGTACTCACAGGAAACTCTTTACTGTTTTGCTGGAAATGAGCAACCGGTATCATACTGTAACTGCAGTTTCTATCAATCTCGTTGTTGATCGGCTTGAAAGCGAGCAAGGAGAAATTTCCCTCGGAATCGCCACGATCATCTAAACGTATCGTCAAACCGGACACACCTGTATAGAGAGAATGTACAATTATCATATTATTTCGATCCTAACTTAAAATAAAACTTTGGTACTGAGAAACAGACTAAAAAATTCTATTGTTGTTGTCTGCCTGAGACTAACATATAATGTGTAACAATAAAGAGACAGCTGCAGTTTTTCTATCTATCTTTCATTCACTCCTATACTGCCCCTAGGCTGCCCCTATGCCTCGCCACAACGGCCAGTCCTACGCGGCCTGCATCCAGCGGATTCCCGCGCCCTTCAATAGGTCGCCAGTCCACATAGCGGAAGGCGTACCCACGATAAGTCTTGAGCTGCAGTCCCAACTCTATATAATATGAAAAGTAAAAATCGACATTCCGTATAACCCTATCACTGTATAACATGAACCGATTATAATATTATGATCCCGAAATTATTTACGAAAAACGACTTTAGTTTACAGAATGTAGTATAGCTTTCACTTTATTCATGTGAAAATGTGTTTTTTATATATGGAAAAACGACGCAAAAATTGGCAATTTTCGTAATTTTAGAAGAATCATATTAATATTACAAATAATATTTAAAATATGTATATAGAAACGTAGCAGTGTACTACTGTATATACATAGATCATGTATAAAAGTGTTTACCTACTCTAGTTCATCGAGGAAATAGGGCATATTTTTATGGATCAAACGCAACCCGCGTTTCCTCTTAAGCGTCAAAACATATTTATTTTTAACATATTAACATATTTAAAGTTTAATATTTGGAAAAAATATCATAAGAAAAAAAATCTTCAGCTATTTGAATGAAGTGAACTTAACTACAGTTCAATTAAAAACATCGAACTATTGATGCAAATACCAAATAAAAGGCACCTTTAATTACAAATATAAATGTCGCGTATTAAGTGAAATGTCGCTTAAGCCAAATAGCCTTTCATCCCTCGACATCGTTTTTATATGTCATACAATTTGACTTACTTTTGTATGGCGAACTTTTAATCATCTTCGCCACAATGGCTGTTCCGTTAGTGACAATATTCGTTAGCTTGGCCTGCGTCAAGGGCTCCTTTTGAGTTTCCTCCTTGATTATTTCATCTAGAGCTTTAGCATAGAGCTTCACCGAATCATACAAGTACGCAGCGTAAATGGATACAAACTGAAACAATTAAACTCGCATACGTATTAATCCTTTGCTTGAAAATAATTTGCTGTTGTTGCCTTGAACACGAAGTGAAAATTCCACCTAGAAAAGTATGGTTTAAAAAGCAAAAACTAAACGCGCTTTAATAAGCAGCCCGAGCTAAAAATTAGAATGAACTTTTTACTATCTTGGTGATGGTTCTGGTCGGGATATTAGGCTAGGATAATTTAAACTATTGTGTATTTCCATAGATCTTTGATATGTTGGAAGATTTCCAAGTGGATGCGACGTTAGGAAATTGGTGAAAATTGCCTTGATAGATTCCGTCACATAGCTGGATATATACAAGCCAATGGTCTATAGTGGAAGCAGTACGCTGTCCAGTACCAAATAACACACATCTATTACGCTAGATTCCACAGTAATATGGTTGCGTCGCATATGGAGCTTTACAGTTGCTTATCTAAGAAGGGAGAGACCACTGAACACGGAGCCACTCAGAATGTGCCGCACTTTTGTTATGTTTAAGTCTGTGGCTGGATTTCGTTTGGCGCATACTACATTGAACCTTAACTCTTGAAATAGATCAGTACACCCGCGATTGTATTTCAATCAACTTCAATCAACCGCGAATGTAATTCAGTCAACTGTTTAATAACTTTGTACGACCATTTGAACCTGGTATCTCTTTAAATAATTTGTCTCGATACCCGAGAGACCAATAAATATCTCACGAGAAAGAGAAAAAAACTAGACACGAATTAATACTAAAAAAAGACTAGTAAAAATCAAATACTTTAACGAATATTTTAATAACATAACGTCCACCAATCAAACTAAAAAAAAGATGGTGTTTTAAAATACGTAGCTGCTAGTTGATAAAGCCAAGCGATCGTATTTCGTCTTGTTTATCATTATAAATTAAATACAGCAATTCAAACTATTTCAAACCATACTTTATGCTAATATTATGAAGCTGAAGAGTTTGTTTGTTTGTTTGTTTGAACACGCTAATCTCAAGAACTACTGATCCGATTTGAAAAATTATTTCAGTGTCAGGTAGCTCGTTTATTGAGGAAGGCTATATAATATAATATTGCTAAGACCAATGCAAGCGGAACACCAATAAAGAATGTTTCAGAATCGGGGTTTCTTTCCCTTTTAAGAGCTTCCACTGCGTGCACTGCGGAAACGGTTAAAGTTTCGCTAAAATAATGTATGAGAGCATTGTTCACTTTTAAAAGATCTAAAAAAATGTCCGCGACAGCATATGTCTAGGTATATGTTAAGTTTGGCTCAATACAACGTTTCTTATGCTAATCAAATTTGTTCTAAAATAAAGCATTATTTGTGAAGGTGTTTTTATAAAGTTGATATTGTTCAAAAATATTTTCACTTTCTACGTAAATAAAGAGGCGGGTAATATTTAGCGTTATGCCAGAGTAAGTATTCCACGTGGACGAAGTCGCGGGCAAAAGCTAGTATATAATAATGAAATGTACGTACCTTATTGTACCTGCTGCCAAAGACATCGGGAAAATTGAATGGTTCTAGAGAATTGTATCTCCTGACTTTAGCCGTAAACTCTTCATATTCCGGGGATGGTTCCGACGAAGCTATCACCAGTAACGACTGGGCTCTCTTTTTAAATTCAGGTGTGTTCGGACATATTAATGTCGACGATAAACGATCTTCGATTTCTGAAAAAAGAAATTCGGAAAAGAAGGTTATACAATTACCTATCCGTACATATTAGGGGCTAAAGTATGAATTTGCCAATTTGTACAAAAAAAATTAAATTGGTTTTTTTCATTTAACATTTTTATTTAATCAAAATATCTACCATTGTTATCTATACATTGCTGCCATCTAATTAGAAGGTCATTTATGCCTTTGCTATAGAAATCTGGTGATCTAGACTACAAACCGTGTGAAAGCATTTTGTACTGCCTTTTTAATTTTTATTTTATTGCCTAGATGTGTGGACGAGCTCACAGCCCACCTGGTGTTAAGTGGTTACTGGAACCCATAGACATCCACAACGTAAATGCGCCACCCACCTTGAGATATAAGTTTTAAGGTCTCAAATATAGTTACAACGGCTGCCCCACCCTTCAAGCTGAAATGCATTACTGCTTCACGGCAGAAATAGGCGGGGCGGTGGTACCTACCCGTGCGGACTCATAAGAGGTCCTACCACCAGTAATTACGCAAATTATAATTTAGTGGGTTTGATTTTTATTACACGATGTTATTCCTTCACCGTGGAAGTCAATCGTGAACAATTGTTAAGTACGTATTTCATTAGAAAAATTGGTACCCGCCTGCGGGATTCGAATACCGTTGCATCGCTATATACGAATGCACCGGACGTCTTATCCTTTAGGCCACGACGACTTCTACGGGGGAAGCCTCCTGGGAAGATTTTTTTTTATCACGTAGAAAATTGTCCAAATCACGATAAAAAGGGTAGTCCGTTGGAGCAAGGTCTGGCAAGTACGAAGGGTGACGAACGGTTTCTAATTGCAGTTCCTGTCGAGTTAAAACGGTTCCTCGGGCTGTATGAGGTCTCGCGTTATCATGGAGCAATAATTGTGAAGATCGATTCTTGAGTCGGAGCTGTTTCACTGCAAGTTTTGCTATCATTGTTCGGAGCTCGGCACAGTAGACATTATTATATGACCATGGATTCTATCATCACAAGCAATCGTAGTATACTCACTCAACAAATACTTGGCAGAGTCTTTAAGAGAGTACGTCATCATGTCCACGAATATAACCATGTACTCGCCCTTCGCAAATAACTGCAGCGACTCCATGGCGGTCATCATCTCTATTAGTCCAGAAGTCGACCCAAGGAAAACGTAAACTGAAACATGTAGAACGGTTATGTAGACATCCACTATGCACCGTATAACCATTAGTCGAGTTTTTTTTTCGTGTCTATGTCATACTTTTTTTTTAATCTCCCTCTCTTTTATTGATATCCAGTTAAATATGTATTACTGCTACAATTAAGGGATTATTAAATCAGAGACCACCGGCATTTGGCGACCAATATGCGGTCCAATATCGCAGTGCCGAGTGGTGCCGCCAGAGGGTGTGTGGCCATAATATATATATATTATATACGGTTGCTTCATTTCTGATTTAACAATCCCTTAATTGTAGCAGTAATACATATTTAACTGGATATCAATAAAAGAGAGGGAGATTAAAAAAAATGTATGACATAGACACGAAAAAAAAACTCGACTAATATAATCGGTGAACTCACGGGGCTCAAACCGGGAGTGTTGTTAACACTGGTCCTAGCAAAAACAGTGCTTCGCAGAATCTACCACTGGATCGGAAACGCGATTCATTGAGAATATCCGGCGAGAAAATCAGTGGGCGGTATCTATGGGTTAGTTTACTTGTCGAGCCCTGACAGGTTTAGTGAGGACGGTGACCGGTGCCTGCGGTATCTAAAAGCACCGTTAATGGATCGGGAGGATCCGTAATGACGTGTTTAGGGCGACGTCGACTGTTTACCATCCGGTAAACAGGATCGGGTATGGGTGTTTGTCTCTCACATCGAGAGAACATAACAGTTAAATCTTTTTAAACTATTCAAATGAGGACGTTCTTGAGATAAAAGTTAAAATAATTACATAAAAGCTAAAGCCATGTTTGGATATTTCATTTCGAAAATATATGTAACAGTAATATTTTAATTATTAATTCTTGTACTTTGAAATTGTTAAAAATTTACGGGACATAAGGTCGGGGAAAAACTCTTTTCGCATTATAATATGCATGAATTTGTAATAAAATCTCTTTGGCTATACTATTTGTTGTATCTGGCTGGTTTAGGTATCATTAAAAGTTTAAATTTAAAAAAAGATAATTCCAAATTCAAATTAGGAAAATGTGTTTTTTATTTATTTTTCGTACTGTCAAGATGAGTGATCTATTGAAGAAACTCGATACATTTTAAAAATTTACTACAAAAAAGGTAAAAATGCAACACAAGCCGCGAAAAAAGTTGCGATGTTTATGGACCTAGTGCAGTGTCTATGAGAGTAGCACAAAGGGGAATGCCCATTTCAGGCCCAAAGCGGACAATAGATTAGAGAAAAAATACTTAGTGCATTAATTTTGTCATAAATAAATATGCATTTACTTTCTTCCAAATGAACGCTACTCCACTTTACAATAAGTAGTTTAAAAAACGTAACTCTATTGACAAGGTTTTTGATTTTTGCGGGAAAAATATTGCCAGCATCAAAACCTTTTACGTATTAAGTAAACATTTGAAGTATGTAAATAAAACCTAAGTATTCTCAAATACTGAAAATGTTTTATTTATATGTTTTGTATTATATTAATGAGTTAATAAATTGATTTTAATTGATTATAAGCACATAAAATAACATTAAAGACATACCCATTGGGCTTTAATTTGTAACTATACTTAAGACCTTAGAACTTACCTATATCTCAAGGTGGGTGGCGCATTTACGTTGTAGATGTCTATGGGCTCCAGTAACCACTTAACACCAGGTTGGCTGTGAGATCGTCCACCCATCTAAGGAATAAAAAAAAAATTACTAGTATTGTTATTTAAATATGTACAACAAAAACATAAACATAAAAAATAATGTGCTCTCGTAAAAATAAGATTAAGAAAAATAAATCAACTATCATAACAACTATTTAAAAAAATTATCGATATATGAATTTAATGTAATTATTTTTCGTTATACTGACAACACTGAATTTAATCTGATTGACTGACACTTCGCATTTCGCTTGCTGCTTGTGCTTACGTTCAAAATGGATGTGTTTTGATTTTTCTTCGATTTATTTTACTGGCTTTGTTTTTATGGATTTTATCCTCCCTTCAACGACCACTTTGGCTCAGGAGTTAAGGATCACAGCTACATTCGATTATGGATACCGATCAATAACGTTTCACACTACGACTGAAAAACATTGTATGAATTATGGTTTTAACCTGACCGAGATTCAAAACATTGGATAAAAATACCTTAGGAACATCTCTATTATCATAATTAATAAATTAAACATTAAGAAAAGTTATTTAAGTATCTCACAATCCGACACTTATCTATATATAGAAAATTAATTTCAAAACTATTTTTTTTTTAATTTAATTTTTAAAATAGTGACGTCGATTTCAATATATTTTTTAGATATCTAATACATTTAAGAATTTAAAACCGTCCATTTTTATAGTAAGTAATATTTGATGTCCATCTTGGGCCCAGCACACTATGGAGAGTGGGCATTCCCCTTTGGTTTAAGCGTTTTCAATCCGGAAATTTTAATGTCAAAGATGCACGTGGCTCTGGCCGCTCTATTACGGATAAAATGGATGCCATTTTTGAAAAATGGAGCAAGATCGGTATATCAGTAGTTACGACGTAGCTGAAGAACTGGGAATTGACCACAAAACCGTTTTGACGCATTTGAAAAATACTGGGTACACAAAAAAGCTCGATATTTGGGAACCTCACGAGCTCACTGAAAGAAACCTAATGAACCGTGTACTAAATGAGTACTAAATGATTCGTTATTAGGACGTAATGAAACCGGACCATTTTTGAAGAAGCTAATAACCGGTGATGAAAAGTGGATTACGTACGAAAAGAACGTGCGAAAAAGGTCGTGGTCAAAGGCCGGTCAGGCTTCACAGACTGTGCCGAAACCCGGGTTAACTCGCAACAAGGTGATGCTGTGTGTGTGGTGGGACCATCGATTCTGAATTCTACTGCGAACAACTGATGAGATTAAAGCAAGAAGTTGAGAGAAAGCGGCCGGAATTAATCAACAGAAGGGGTATGGTTTTTCATCATGACAACGCTAGACCTCACACATCTTTAGCCACTCAGCAAAAATTAAGAGAACTTGGCTGGGAGGTGTTAATGCATCCGCCGTATAATCCTGACCTTGCACCTTCAGATTTCCATCTGTTTCGGTCTCTTCAGAATTCTTTAGGCAGGTCAGGTTCACGTCACGAGAGGACTGCCAAAACCAATTGTCGCAGTATTTTGATCAGAAGCCCGAAAATTTCTATAGCAATGGGATCATGTCCATACCTACAAGATGGCAAAAAGTTATCGAAAAAAATGGTACCTACATGGTACCTAGTTAAATGTAAATAAACTATATTAAAGAATGTTGTGAATTTTCTTAAAAAATGCGAAGAAACTTTTTCCCCAACCTATTATTTAAATAAAACGAATCATTCGTATTATTAATCGCGTAATGCAAAAAATTACAGTAAAATTGTTTTAGATCTCTAAGCTGTACGAAGATGCGCTATTGCACTTATTATGTTTGATTTTAGATATTAGGGTTGTGAAACAATTTTAGATTATAAAGTACTTACTTCTTGTTTTGTTTTTTGTATCATGAATGAACTGATACCAGAAACCGGGTGCACAGCAAGCCATTTTCTCTACGCAACATTTAAAAGTATTTATGACGGGACTCTGATGGTTTACAGTCATGTTAAAGTCCTTGGCATAGTTCGCCAACGTCAGGGCGACCGTCATCCAAGATTCTTCATACAATATAGAGAATTTGTTCCATCTATAGTAACGTAGCAATGATATCAACGCTTTTGTCGCCTAAAAACAGCCGCGAAAACAGGTCATAGCGTATCTGTTTATCTTTACAACCACTGATGATACATACATTACTGACTCACAACACACTGCGTTGATTTAATAAAAATAAACAACACACTGCGTTGATTTAATAAAAATAAAAGACCCACCTGAACGCCCGGAGGCTCTAATCGAGCAAAGTTTGGTAGCCTAGATACTTGGTAGTCTGAGCATTTCTAAAAAATAAGTTGATTTATGAATTTTACATTGATCCGTAACATTAATTTAAAGGAAAACATGTTATATTTAAAATAACTCACGTAAGAGATCATAGGCAAGTTTCTGGATTGCGCAATTATGGCTTCAGTTTCACAGCGACCTTCGGGTCCGAAAAAGGCTACTACACCTGCACGACTCATTTCTGTGATGAGCCTGGTGGAAGTCACCATGTCATATTTCGTGTCGTTCCACTGCAACTGAATCTCCACATCCGGCAGCAGATCGACTCCATTGTTCAGCTATGAACAGTATTATTACAATTAAGACAAATAAAATAAAATAAAATAAACTATTACTTAGCTGCTACGAATAACTTATTATTTATTCGTAGCTTAGCTGTATTATATGAAAAAATTAACAGTACTTCTTCCGTTCTCTTACTTTGAGGTTCAAAGTAGGTCATAACGTTGACGAACTATTAAGGTGGATAGTAAGTAGCAACGTACAGGCGACTGCATAAATGCATGAACACCTCAAGGTCTATATTTGCTTGAATACTGTGGTGACGGTATTCGAACAACTTGCCCACGTGCGACAGCAAGGTAATCGGTCGATAGCTGGAGGGCCTTCTCCTGTCCTTGTCGGGTTTGGGAAAGACAATAATCTAGTTGAATTTCCAAGTTCCGGGGAAGTGTCCTACCAGGAGAACGGAATCTGTCATTGCTGACACGGTTGAAGGAGGGAGTTTTTGTATGGCGAGGGGAAGAATACCGTCCTCGCCGGGAGCTTTGCGCCTCTTAATCGATTTGATGAGGAGGCGTAACTCGCTGGAAGTGACTAAGTCGTCATCTTCCCGGCGATTCTGGTTTAAGAAGTTGGATTACGCCCTCTGACACCTTCCGATAGAATGCAACCATCGAGGGTGCAGAGACATTCGGAGTGAACTGTTGCTCCAGCGAGTTTGCCAGGACTTCGTCACGAGCCAACGACGTAAAAAACCGACTTCACCCCTCGTACATCAAGGGACAAGTAGGGGAAGGCTTGTGGGTGAGCCGGCGACAGATGTGATGAAGGGGGCCATTGTACGGTTGTCGGACGCGTCCAGCAGTCCCCCCTCCCAGGAATCACCCCGGAAAGTCCGCATCTTGGTCGTCAGCTCATCCTCAAGTTGATTTAGCTCGCGCTTGATCCTGGGACAGATTAGATGTCGCCCAGAGCTTCCCCAGTGCCCTCTTCCGACGAATTAGCGTCTTGAGGTGCACTTGGAGTCCTGCTCTGGGCCCTCCGTTGGGTACCAGAGTCGTCGCTTGGTCCCCTGATTGTGTCGACGAGACGGGAGACCGCCGTGTCGACCTCATCAGGGGTAGACGAGTCTTGAAACAAGAATTGGTCGTCCAGCAGTTCCGTGAAGGATTACCAGTCGACCCTAGGCCTTAGCTCAAGCTACTCGTGCATCACGTCCCTCCTGACGAGCGCCGCAGTGCAGTCAGTACACGAAGTAGTTGGGCATCCTGAAATCTTGTCGAGGCTTGTGTTTGGTCTCGCCCAGGAGTATGACCCGCAGGTCATCCTCGGATGTCGGATTATCTCCAGCCTTCGGGACCCTATCCCGTCGGACTCCAACAGATGATGCGCAGTACATGGCTCAAGCATTGTGCATCGAGTGGTCAACGTTTCAAATTAGATACGACCTTCAGCAATAAAGAGACCGACTCTGAAGAAGTTCATGGCTAGCCATTAAACTGCGCAATCAACCGGCAAATCCCCGAAAGCAGGGCCCCGAAGGGGCTGGCTCCCGAGGCGACCTCACGGATCACTCCAGAGATCACCTCGGATAGTTTCTCCCACAACGAGAGGAGTCAGGCAGCAAAACCAGCAGGCTGTGACTCCTGCCGACGACTGCGTCGCTTTCGTTGTGAGCGGGATGTTAATGGGGGCTGCGTGTTACCCAGAGCACTGGGTTGTATCTGGGGTGCATTTGCCCTAGGCTCTGAAGGCTGGCTTGAGATTGAAGTCTCCATAGTGTTGACCTCCGATGAAGGTGTTGGGGTATTTGGGGCGACTTGGTCCTCTTTCAACAAGGCAGGTTCTTTTCTTTCTTTCTTTTTTCCTTTCTTTGGTCTTTTGTTTTTTTTTTTTTTTTGCGGTTTTGCCATTTTTGTTGACATTGGAATTGAATTTAATTGGGCCCTTCGGTAATGGTAACTGACCTAGGGTCTGGGTGTGATTTACTGGCCTGTCGTAGTGGGTTAGATTCTGCCATCAGTGTGGCCACTGTTGCGCTGGCTTCTACCGTGGCACGTTGGGTGTTGAGCGGGGAGAGGGTCGGACCTTGGAAAGACTTTTCCTTGCCTTTACCCTTGCTCTTAGATGGACGTGATGTGAGGGGGAGGCTTGGCCGGCACGCAGGACCGGTGGCACGGGAGGAGGGACGGTTATTCCCAACATCCGCATCCTCCTGCGGTAGACTACACACCGCTTGTCAACAGCGGCGTGGCCCTTCCCGCAGTTTGCACAGGTGTAAAGCCCGTCCCTCGGCCTCGGGTAGTCTGCCACGATGTGCTCGCCCACACACAGTACTCCAAGGATAGCCACCTTCGCTAGAATATCCTCCTCCAACGCGTAACAATACCATTTAATGGACTGTCCGCGGGGGAGGCCCCGGCAAGATAGGCTTGGACCACTCTGTACTTCTCTGCCGACGCCAACAGAAATCGGAAGCCTGTCCCATATGGGCGAACAGAGGTGGCCTTCCCCAGGCGCTCCCTAATGGCCGCCATGTGGCGGGACCAATTTGGGAGCGTTTCCACCATGATGGGTGTGTGGCGGCGGGGCGCCTCCCTGGTGCACGACTTACCTGCGTCGAGCAGCTTGTGATGTGTGTGTTTGTTGGGTTCTGGTTGCGTATGAGGTAGAAGGGATCGGGAACTGTGCTGCTCCGGTCGTGGTTTTGGTGTGGGGAATGGTGTGTTCAAGGTCCATGTACCTTGTTGATTCAAGGTTGCCAACTGTGCAGCTTGTACCTATTTTTCACCTGGGCATGACTTTTCTACCCTTTTAAAGTAGCTCAACTAGCGCTCCTTAATTGAGCATAATAACATCTTATTGATTAGTCCCTGGTTAGAAATGGTAATTGTTCTGAGCTCACGGGGCCGAAACCGGGAGTGTTGCTAACATTGGCCCTAGCAAGAGCAGTTCTTCGCAGAACCTACCACCGGATCGTAAACGCGAACTACTGAGAAAATCCGGTGAGAAACTCAGTGCCTGAGGTGCTTGAGGAATCTAAAAGCACCATTAATGGACCGGGAGGATCCGTGATGAAGTGTTTAGGGCAACGTCGACTGTTTACCAGTCGGTCCACAGGATCGGGTACGTAATTTCCGGCGGCCAAGAGGGTTTTCGTGTCTTGCCACCTTCTCAAAGTGGCGCAACGATGCCGACTGTAAATACTTACTGACTGAGTCAAGCTCCAGATCATCATGGAGATCCACACTCCTTAGGAACCATGGTGCTCCGACGGCTATCTTGCAAGAGCGTGTCTGAGAATCCCCCATGACTACGAAAACTTTGCTGTTCTGTATTCGGAACTTCAAAAGCAGGTTATAAAAGCGAACCTTAAGAGTAGTTTTAGTTAAGAAATACGACTCGCGAAAACCGAAGAAAATAATATTTACTTTACCTTGTGCAAAAGTTTCTGACCTATCCATTTATTCTACCATAGACACATAACAGTACCTGACTATAATTTTATTTAAATGCGCTGTTAGAATTAAAATCGGTAATGTCAAATGCCATTGAAGAACTGACCTCTTCAAGTGCCAACGACAGTGCACCGGAGACTGTGAGTCCTTGTCTGTCTCGCAAGTCACCGGTAAGAGCCGGTAAGTAGCCAATGGTGATATTGAACTTCTTGTGGGCAAGTGAAGGCCCAGCCAGTAAGCCCAGCGCCACGAACACCAACACCCGCGCACCGTGCCACATGCCGTCGCCTTCACCGTGACAGTTTCACTTGAAACAATAACATTTAAGATAAACAAACGACAAAATCAATAAAATATTTAGAAATAAATTGACCAACATACATATATGAATGAATTAACAAAAACAATCATTTTTAATAGTAGTACTTATGTTGACCAAATTATTGCTTTCGTAGGCTTACTCTCAGCCACCACAGCAAGGAACCATAATCCGATACTCAATGCAACCATTAGTCAGTTTACGCTTTATCTAATGAGCCTGAACATCTTATGAACACATTCACGAACTGTGAGAGTATTGGTCATACGGTACTCACTGTTCGTTCAACGGAAATTATTTCCGACCAGACAACACACGCACGGCCAAAATTAATACGACAGCAAAGAGTCAAGTTTACACCGAGTACGATTATCGCGACAACGTTTACACAAAGTGTTAATCTACACAGGGCAATACGCTTATTCTAGGGCCGGGTCAGTTGAATGACAGGTTGATCCTGGTTTATTTAGAGCTCATTGTGAATTTTATAAACTGTAGATGGCTATAGGCTTAGGTCTTAGCGTGATATGATATCACGCTGAGGCTGGACTCATACATCCGGAATTCCTATCTGAATTCAGAGCGGAATTCATAATTTGAATTCCGACAAGCTACCTCAAACATATCTTAAAAAATCAGATAAATCAGTAGTTTCGTGTTTCTCAAGTCAGGCAAATCTCTTGGATAGAATTAATACTCATCGCACTACTTTTAGCTTTAAATAATAATAAAAAGGAACGCAAACGAATACACTGGATTCATCCTCTTAATGTGAATAGAGTAAGGGAAAGTCAGTTCTACAGTACGGCTAGAAAATTACGACAGTATCCTGGCAGATTTTTTGATTACTGCAAAATGTCAGTAGCATCATTTGATGAAATACTATTGTACACGACCCGGTCTGTATGGCTGTTTCCAAGTCGTGTAATAAATTTTTTCTGCTGTCTGTTTTTGCGCTGGTAGAAGACGGCTGTTTCTTTCGACGGGTTTCGGCTTCCGTAGCGAGGTTTCATAGGTAACTGTTTCACTAGTAACTGACAACTAACTGTTTTACTAGTAACTGGTTCACTGGTAGCTGATTCACTGGTGGTTTTCTGATAACTGTACTATGTTCTATCTCGGAGATCCGCTGGTAACTGTTTCTGTCTTATTGATGTTTCTATGTCGGAGATCCGCTGGTAACTGTTTCTGTCGGAATTCTGGTGATAGCTGACTTTTTCTATGATGTTTCTATGTCGGAGATCCGCTGGTAACTTACTTTTGCCATGGGGTCGTCGCGTCCCCTTGCGGGGGCGCGGAGCGGGCCTCGGTGAAACCCCTCTGCCCGGACTGAACCTCTCTGCCTATTGAGGCAGGGGTGATGCACTGCGGGATGGTGTGTATGGATGTGTTTTGAGCTGGGACGACTTCTTTTCTTCCCTCTTCTCTCTGTTCACTTCTCACTTGATTTTTAGACTTCTTACTTTTGCCTATAAATGGCCATCCTTCTAAATTTATTTCAGTACCCCATCTCGCGACGCGTTATCGTCGTGCCACTTTCGGAGGGTCCCGTGATCTGTATGTTACCGTAGCGAGAGCGCTCCACAATCGTTCCTATTGGTCTGTTTACATTCTCTGATCTGATACACTAACATATTGCATATAAAATAATTTAAGATTATAATTTTTTTTACGTAATCACTTATTAACTAAATATATTAATTCTATTTGTTTGATAAAACTATTAAAACCCTATTTCGTCCTGCACAACTATGTTTGCTGGTGTATAAAATCAGAAATAATTCATAATCTGATTCCGGTGTGTGCTCACGTGTTCGAATAGAATGTAGAAGAAACACGCACGTTATGAAATCATAATCTTAAATGTACCGATCCGGAATTCAGAACGCTCTTCGGTATCATTCTTACAGATCGATCTGAGAAAATCATAATCTAAAAAAATCAGAATATGTGTGTTTCTGAATGAATAATATGAATTTAGATTATGGATTCAGAGACGAATTCCGGATGTATGAGTCCAGCCTAAGACCAATACGAGCGGAGCACTAAAAATACAATGTTTCAAATCGGGCCTTTTTTTCCTTTTGAGAGATTCCGCTGCGTGTGCTACGGTAACCGTTAAAGTTTTTCTATAATAATGTATTACAGAATTGTTCCCCTTTAAAAGTTCTAAAAAAAGTCCGCGACAGCATATTTCTATGTGTTAAGGTTGGCTCACTATAATGTTTTTTTTGCTAACCAAACTTGCTAAACTAAAATAAAGCATTATTTGTTCATTTTTGTTTATTTTTTCGTTCAATTTGGCATTTAAAAATGTATTAGTAATTTTATAATATTTTTGCCTGGGGTTTCGCTCGTATTATAGTCAGAAAAAACCCTACTTTTAATCGACTTCTAAAATATTATCAATTGATTCTGTTTTATACATACAGTGATGGTTGTATAATTAGAAACACTACCAACGGCCCTTAACATTATGTAAGATACTTCACCGCAATCGTTTTTATTTTGAAACTTGCGACCCGCCCTCCCTTTGCTTCGGAAACATGAAATTTTATTATTGATAGCAGTCCCGCGATGTTACCCGTAGTTATTGCCGTACCGCGGGTGACGCCGCGGGGCGAAGCTAGTCTAAAAAAAGTAGCCTAAGTTACTCCTTATATCATCAGCTACCTATCAGTGAAAGTTTCGTCAAAATCGGTCCAGCCGTTCCAGAGATTAGCCGGAACAAACAGAGAGACAGACAAAAATTGTAAAAAAATGTTATTTTGATCTATGTACCGTATATATATATTTATATGCACGTAGTAAAAAGCGGTTATTTCAAGATTACAAACAGACACTCCAATTTTATTTATATATATAGATTAAACAATAAATAGGACAACAATATGTTCAATAATTTATCATTTATTAGAAAAACAAAATAAATCCCACTACACAAGTGCACTTTCAATATTACATTACGGACAAACATTTAAATCAGTTTTAAGGTATGAACAATAATGGTCAACTAATTAGAAACAACAACAAAAAATTATATAAAAAATATATTTTTCAAGTTTTTAGTAATTAGTATTGTTATTTACGAAATAGCTATATCTATCCACAGCCTACCAATAGTTATAATTAATATTTAGTGGCGTATTTTTACAGCACTGCAACGACGTGGCATTAATTTTTATACATTTTTCTAGGGGGATTGAATTCCATGCTTCAACAAATGCTTCATATCGTTCGTTTTGACTGGTATTACGTTTGTTTGAGACTTTCTTTTTAACAATATATAACCAGAGATTTTTTATCGAGTTTAAATCCGAACTATTTGTTGGCCAGTCTAAAACGGATATACGCTGTTCGCTAAGGAAACATTTGACGCTATTGGCTGTGTGCTTAGGATCATTGTCATGCTGAAAGGTTCAGGTTACAGGCAAATTATCGTCCGAGTAGGAAATCATTGTGTGCTCTAAGATATTTTTGTACATCCAGAAAAACCCCCAAACTTTAATGTTACCGCCACCGTGCTTGACTATACTCCTTGTTTTTTTATACTTAAAAACATTGTTTGCAGGACGTCTAACATAGCGCTTTCCATCGGAATTTACCATATTTATTTTTGTTTCATCTGAAAATAACACATTTTTCCATTTTCGTACCGTCTAATTAACATATTTTTTTAGCGAATAATAATCGCTTCTCTTGGTGTTCCTTAGTAAGAAGCGGTACCTTTCGAGAGGTTCTTCCAAATAATTTAGCTTCCACTAATCTTGGCGTATTCATCTTGACAAGATGTTTCTCGGATCATCAGGCAAAAAAACTTAATTTTTAATCTGGTTGGAGCCTTTAAATGGGTCTTTTTAGCAACACGAACAATCAGCGTATCTCCTCTTGAGAGGTTTTCCTTGGCCGAGCCTTTCTAATAACATTTTCAACAGTTCCATGTGTATGATAATGAACAATAACATTAAAAACTTTCTTAACAGATCAATTTAAATGCTCAGCTATTCTTCTGTACGCCCACTTATGATGTATAGTATGTAAATTAACAATTATTTGCCAAGTTGACGCTTCACTTTTATTTTTGCCCATTACGAACTAAATAAAATTCAGATTAAATTTTGAATTGCCGTCAAAATAATAGAAAAAGCTACTATTGAAAGAAATGTTATTCACCAATTTCAATAAAAGAACGAGCTATAGATGCTTTTTTAAAATGTTTCTAATTAGGCGTCCGAGCGGCCAGTAATAGAAAATAAACACCTCCTCCTCATTTTGTAATTAAAAGTAAGATATGTTATATATTTTATAAAATTAATGAGTTTTTTATCTGAGTGGCTATATTATTGCATGGTTATTAAATATTAAATGTGTATATTTTTTACCAACATTTGTACGTTGTAGTTATACTTTCTTTATTCAAAAGAAGTGTTTCTAATTATATCACCACCACTGTATATAAAATAAGTTAGGGAAAAAGTATTTTCGCATTATATTATGTATGAACTTGTAATAAAATCTCTTTGCCTATAGTATTTGTATCTGGCTGGTTTTGGTATCATTAAAAGTTTAAATTTTAAAAAAGATAATCCCAAATTCAAATTAGGAAAATGTGTGATTTATATTTATTTTTCGTACTGTCAAGATGAGTGAATCTAATGAAGAAATTCGATACATTTTAAAATTTTACTACAAAAAAGGTAAAAATGCAACGCAAGCTGCGAAAAAAATTTGCGATGTTTATGGACCTAGTGCAGCATCTGTGAGAGTAGCACAAATTTGGTTTAAGCGTTTTCAATCCGGAAATTTTGATGCCAAAGATGCACGTCGCTCTGGTTGCCCATTACGGATAAAATGGATGCCATTTTTGAAAAAAATGGAGCAAGATCGGCATATCAGTAGTTACGACGTATCTGAAGAACTGGGAATTGACCACAAAACAGTTTTGGCGCATTTGAAAAAAACTGGGTACACAAAAAAGCTCGATATTTGGGAACCTCACGAGCTCACTGAAAACCTAATGAACCGTGTAATCATTTGTGATCCTTTATTACGACGTAATGAAACCGGACCATTTTTGAAGAAGCTAATAACTGGTGATGAAAAGTGGATCACGTCCGACAAGAACGTGCGAAAAAGGTCGTGGTCAAAGGCCGGTCAGGCTTCACAGACTGTGGCGAAACCCGGGTTAACTCGCAACAAGGTGATGCTGTGTGTGTGGTGGGATTTGAAGGGCATTATTCATTATGAGCTGTTACCACCAGGCAGGACCATCGATTCTGAACTCTACTGCGCAAGAAGTTGAGAGAAAGCGGCCGGAATTAATCAACAGAAGGGGTGTGGTTTTCCTCATGATAACGCTAGACCTCACACATCACGTCCTTACGGATCCATCAGATCCAATAACCTTTGCACTAGACGCCTTCAGCTCTAGGAGCAGGCTTAGGGACCTCGGTAACCGTACTCGTCGAACTCGACAAAGAGTTCGCCGTGCAACCTAACCCATGAATCAGCTCGCTGAGTTTCTCGCCGGATCTTCTCAGCGGGTCGCGATTCCGATCCGTAGATTCATTCGCGAAGCAGCTACTCTTGAGTTGTTAGGTCTCCTTCAGAGGCGCTCGGGTAGCTGTTAGCAAATCCCACCCCTCCTGGCTGAGCCTTTGCTCGCCCACCTGTCCTGGTGAAACTGGAAAGGCCTCCGGGCCACCAGTATCCTTAAATCACCTGTTTCGGTTTCTTCAGAATTCTTTAGGCAGTGTCAGGTTAACATCACGAGAGGACTGCCAAAACCAATTGTCTCGGTATTTTGATCAGAAGCCCCAAAATTTCTATAGGAATAGGATCATGTCCCTACCTACAAGATGGCGAAATGGTACCTACATACTTTAGTTAAATGTAAATAAATTATATTAAAAAATGTTGTAAATTTTCTTCAAAAATGCGAAGAAACTTTTTCCCCAACTCTTATATTACACATATATATTAGTATATATATAATATATTTAAATAGATAGATAAAATTAGAATTCAATAAATAACTAGATATTTTAGGTAAGTATGTATGTGTTTATGTTGTTTTAATCATAGTAAAACATA